GGATAGCCGGGTTGCGCAGGCCATATGTCAGTCCAGATGGTCTCAGCAGCCTCTTGATTGGAGTGAATGTCATCCTCCTCTTGTGGAGCGCTGGTGAGACATCAGGAAAGATCATGATATGGGACTCCCCAAACCGTATGTCCCCCTTTGCTCTGGAGGCCTTGAGTATGCTGATGGTAGCGGAGCAGCTTGATAATGAAAGATCTGGGAGGCCCTCCCTGGCCGGGTGACCTTTTCTGATGTGTACGGTGAGCCCTTTCGATTTTAAGTGGGTGAGTTGAGGTGGGTAGGTCCAGTAGCTTGGGTAGCCAGTCTTGTAAGAATGCAATTGCATTGCGTCTTTCAACTCCCTCGGGGAAGCCTTTGATTCTGAGGTTGCTGCGCCGCTGAAAATTCACAAGGACATCAACCTTTTCCTCTAGCTTCAAGATGGAGTCCACTAGCTTCTTGTCCGTTTCCTCCACATCTTTGCGTACATCCACAATTGCACTATCATGGTCAGAGTGCCTGGTTTCCAACTGGGTTAACCACACACTTGTGGCCCGTTGTTCTTGGTGTAGTTTGTTGAGTCGGGCAGATATGTGGTCCTCTGTAGCTCAGCTGGTAGATTACGGCGCTTGTAACGCCAAGGTAGTGGGTTCGATCCCCGGGACCACCCATACACAAAAAATTAAATAATGTATGCACGCATTATTAAGTCACTTTGGATAAAAGCGTCTGCTAAATGGCATATTATTATTATTATTATTATTATATGGTGTCTTGTATTTGAACGATGGCCTTATCCATCTCCATCTTGAACCAGGCAGGCGCTGCCTCATTGTCCATCTTTCACAGGGAGGTAGTTGAGGCTTTAGGAAGGTCTGTCTTTTTAGGAGGCATCTTGTTTTGTAGGTGTAGGCGATAGTGTTATGTCTAATTGCTTTTTTAGTAGGTTAACAATAGAAATGTGGTTGAAAAATTTAATTATATATTAATTTCTCAGAGCGCTATGCACAACGTGTCCTCTCAGTGTGCCGCCATTTTCCCCGTCCAACCCTAACCCTTTAACCTAACTCCTAAACTTAACCCCTAGCCAAGCTTACATTCACCACCTAGCTAACATTAGCCACCTAGCCAGAATTTGTAACAGTGTACATTTTGCACATTTGTAACATACAGTATTGTACGTTTTGCAAATTCGTAACATAATACGATTTGTCCACATCCTCATCTGCTCTGTAAAGTTTAATTCAGTTCAAGGTCTTGCACAGAATTCACTACACCAAAGAAAAACTTATGTAATTCCTCCCAGACAGAAATGACACGTGATAGATGTTCAATCACTCCGGCAGACCACACTCATGTTTTATTCATGTTCTAAGCTGAGTATTGGTCATCCTTTTTTAATACTCTCTCTAAAATTCTAGATATTGACCTGCAGCCTTGTCCTTTGATAGCTATATTTGGAGTTCCATCTTTGTTGCCTAGTCTCACTAAAAGTAAAGCAGACATTGTAGCGTTTGCTTACCTCATAGCCCGCCGGCAGAACTTGCTTAATTGGAAATCCTCCAAACCTCCCACTGTATCAGCCTGGTTGAAAGATCTAATGTATTTTCTACACTTAGAAAACATTAAATACACTTTGGGAGGTTGTACTGATAACATTTTCTTGAGATGGCAGCCTTTAATTTCCTTTTTTGAACAGCTGCATTCTATTGATCAAGAGTAAGAATGTTGGCCAACAGGGGATATGAGAGGGTGTGGGAGGGAAGGGATAGTATGTTGTGATTTTTTATATATATATATATATATATATATATATATATATATATATATATATATATATAGAGTTCTGGAAAAAATTAAGAGACCACTGCAAAAGTATCAGTTTCTCTGGTTTTACTATTTATAGGTATGTGTTTGGGTGAAATTAACATTTTTCCCAAATTCCAAATAAAAATATTGTCATTTAGAGCATTTATTTGTTGAAAATGACAACTGGTCAAAATAACAAAAAAGATGCAGTGTTGTCAGACCTCGAATAATACAAAGAAAATAAGTTCATGTTCATTTTTAAACAACACAATACTACTGTTTTAATTTAGAGTTCAGAAATCAATATTTGGTGGAATAACCCTGATTTTCAATCACAGCTTTCATGCGTCTTGGCATGCTCTCCACCAGTCTTTCACATTGATGTTGGGTGACTTTATGCCACTCCTGGCGCAAAAATTCAAGCAGCTCAGCTTTGTTTGATGGCTTGTGACCATCCATCTTCCTCTTGATCACATTCCAGAAGTTTTCAATGGGGTTCAGGTCTGGAGATTGGGCTGGCCATGACAGGGTCTTGATCTGGTGGTCCTCCATCCACACCTTGATTGACCTGGCTGTGTGGCATGGCACATTGTCCTGCTGGAAAAAACAATCCTCAGAGTTGGTGAACAATGTCAGAGCAAAAGGAAGCACGTTTTCTTCCAGGACAACCTTGTATGTGGCTTGATTCATGCGTCCTTCACAAAGACAAATCTGCCCGATTCCAGCCTTGTTGAAGCACCCCCAGATCATCACCGATCCTCCACACTGTGGCTTGTAGGCCTCTCCAGGTCTCCGTCTAACCATTAGATGACCAGGTGTTGGGCAAAGCTGAAAATTGGACTCATCAGAGAAGATGACCTTACTCCAGTCATCTACGGTCCAATCCTTATGGTATTTTGCAAACCTCAGCCTGGCTCTTCTTTGCTTGAAGGGCTTTTTTCTAGCTTTGCACGACTTCAGCCCTGCCCCTAGAAGCCTGTTTCGAACTGTCCTCGCCGTGCACTTCACCCCAGCTGCTGTTTGCCATTCTTTTTGTTGGTCACTTGATGGCATCCTACGGTTGTTGAGTGACATTTGAATGAGTTGGCGGTCATCCCGGTCAGTAGAGAGTCGTTTTCGCCCTCTGCCGGTCTGTAGCTTTGTTGTCCCCAATGTCTGCTGTTTGAACTTGTTCTTATGCCGTCATTGACATTTTAAGGATGGAAGCAACCTGACGCTCACTGTATCCCTCTGCCAGTAAAGCCAGAATTGAACCCTTCTTTTCCTCACTCAAAACTTTCCTTTTCAACTCTTTTGGCATGGTCAATAGTTATTTTTTGATTCATATTACTTTTGAGGTACTATTAGCACTGTTTTTGCCATCCAGTTGGTTCTATTGCAAGAGGATAGTGATGACCACAGCAGTGTTTTTTTATACTTTTCCTAGTTAAATAAGATTTGGTTCAGGTGATCACCTAATCAGTACCTAATTCAGTAGAATGAGGTGTGCCTGTGTTGGAATTCAGCAGACACTGGAATGGAATGGCTGTCATACATGTAGAGATGCTGATTTAAGAAACATTTGCAGTGGTCTCTTAATTTTTTCCAGAGCTGTATATTTATATATTATTATTTCCAATTGTATGTTCTAATTTATTACATTTTTGTATGTATGCTGCTTTTGTTGTTAAGGGGAGGGAGGTGTTTTAACAAGTATAAGGGGATAAAAGGATGTATCTGTTCAATTTGTAATTTGTCAAAAAGAAAAAAACATAATACGAATTGCAATTCATAACATATCATCCGACATGGTTGACGGACATCCACAAATGAATACATACCATACGAAACGTAGCATTTCATACTAAATGGAGTATCACGGATTTACATACAGAATAATACAAAACGCTCTGAGACCAGGTTGGTGAGACAGACAGTGGTGAGGCTGAGGCAGGCTGTAATGCAGAGACAGAGCAAGAGAGGAAATCCAGGCATTTGATTTAGACAGTAAAGTGTTGGTTTATATCGGTAGTTGGTCGTCTTATCTCGATCGCCCACTTGAGTTTATAGTTTACCCATCTTTTTTACCACTAGCTACATAACTGGTCACAGTCACGCATAAGATGACAGCAGCGTCAACCTGAGCCACAGCTATATATTCTATCAATTACATCAATGAACATTTCAATACTTCCAGTATCGGTTGTCTGTGTAATATAACAGAACAGTGGCTGTGGTTGGACACAGTGTATGGCATTCACTTATGCAAGACGTTTTGTAGCATGCGTTAGGGAACAAGACAGCTAGCACTGTTCTAAAACATATCCGTTAGGTAAAATAATAGAATTCATAACTAGCTAACGGATAGCTGCAAACCAGTACTTCGTATCTCGGTAAGATGTTTTACCTTAATCACGGCCAAACGTTACACGCACGCTGTCATTCACCCAGTTTCTCGCTTCGACCTCTCAACTCGTCACTTGTTTATAGTTTCGATTAAACTGAAGCCTATATGCATTATGGGGGTTGAAGTCTTGAGTTTTGTACAACTACTAGATTTATAGGAATCTAACAACGTTTATTGTTGTAATTATGTCAAATACTTTTTGGGGGGTTTAATGCACTACTTGCAAATCACTTCTGTTATTTTTCACAAAAACTCATAGATCTTTTTTCCGACAAATCTGTCAGGACTACAAATAAGCGCACTGTGCGATTACGTCAAAAGCAAGCGACATGTTAATTTCCTACATAGAAATAGCTTAAATAGATTGAAGAGACAAATTCAAAACACTTACACATAATAATAATAAAATAATTAGCTATACTGCATATAATAAAAACACATATTTGCTAGTTCAACTTTTATATAACACTGTTTATCCTAATAACTTCACGGACAATGAATATTCAACACAGTAGCTAGATTGGTGCAACTTGGTGCAACTCTATAAAATAAGATTATGTGAACTAATAATATGTATTGTTCATCAGGCATTACCAAGGAAAAGTTATACACATTTCCCCAACATTTTGGTAAGCTTTACTGAGCTGTTATGTGGATGGGGAAATGTGAATTGTAGGTGTGATTGAGCCTACTTAATGCTGTATCCAAAGATGCTGTTTTGGAAATAGAGGCTTCCTGAATGGTACTTTGTCAGATGATTATAGCCTACCTACCTTCATCACTACCAGTTTTTTTTAGGGCTGCTGATAAACTGTGTATGCAGTGTGGACACAAAGAAACAAACACACATCAGAGGTGAGATATTCCCCTCTCTCATTCTCACATACACCCCTCTCTCTCTCTCTCTCTCTCTCTCTCTCTCTCTCTCTCTCTCTCTCTCTCTCTCTCTCTCTCTCCTCTCTCTCTCTCTCTCTCTCTCTCTCTTCTCTCTCTCTCTCTCTCTCTCTCTCTCTCACACACACACACAAAAGAGGGAGAGAGAGGCATACAGAGAGTGAGAGAGAGAGATAAAGAGAGAGAGAGAGAAAGAAAGAGAGCACAGTTAAGAACAATAACTAACACTCATTTTTCCTGTAGGCCCTACTTTTCATGCTGAGTAACAGCAATGTCTTGAAAGTCCCTATTTTCATCTCCCAGGTGAATAAATACTGAACATGCCTGCTTCACTAGTACTTTGCTTTCAAGTTCCAATCTCTTTGAGGGATTTTTCAAACCCTTTTGATGATTTTTATCCTATTGACTGTACAATTATGCCGTAAGCACACAATTTCCCTTTTTTCATCCTGCTATTAAATGAAACTGAAGATAAAGTAACAAAATCATTACAGCATTTATCTTAATTGCCTCGGGTATTGTGCGAGGATGTGTGTGAGGGTTTTGCTGAGTGTGGCTTCTTTTCTTGCACTCAGTCGCTGCTCAGCAGGAGGTGGCCTGTAGCTGAGGCGTACTGCAGAGGATTACACACATGGATATTCACCGGGGATTTACACAACCTTCACTTTGCAGTTAGTTTCCTGCCAATCTGTATCTGCCTCTCTTCAACTCAACTGAGACTTTTTTTTATAGACAATTTATTTATTCTACTTTTTTATTTTTTGTACACAAAACAACCAAGGCATTAAACAAAACAAAACACAAATACATAGGGAGATTTTTTTCCTGATAAATGTAATGCTATTTCATGGCCATGTTAGTACTTTATGTGCCATTAAGGAAACACAAAAATCATTCCCATATCTTTTTGGAGTTTGTATTATTTGTCTCCAGTCTCTTTTCTAACATGATTTCATACACTGTTGTTTTTATCAACATATTCATCCAGAGCTTTTCCAACCTAAACATAATATTTCAAATTCTGTCTGGTTAATCCCTCTTATTTCAGACTTGTTACTCAACAGACAGTCTTGGTGACCTAGGTACATGGAATCAAAGGCAATCTCCCATGCACTGTAAGGCTTTGTCCCATAGGGCGTGAACAACTGGGCATTCCCACAGTGCATGTATGAGAGTTCCTTTTGCCACTTCACATCGCAAACACACATCATCCTATGACAAACCATCCTATGTAACCTTCAAATTGAAATACTTTAAATTGTATACCTTTTCCCTACGCTTCTCTGACATTTTGCCCAATATTTGAAATAATTTACATCCATGTCTTCTTATCTAGCTCACATTGTAAATCCCTTTGCCACACAATTCTCAAGTTTTCATAGGTGTCATTTTTAACCTTTAACAGCATTTTGTAACATAAAGAAGCTGATTGTACAGGTAGAAAATAAATATTCCACATTGTTGACTTTTTTCATAATGGCACCACCTAGTGTTGACACACCGCTTTAATTTGCATATATCTCCATAGGTCATGATCAAAACGTTTATATTTATTCCCCATTTCTTCAAATGACAAAAATACCTAATTCTTGTGCAGGTCTCCCAAAGTATGAACCCTTCTCTTACCCATTTTCCCCACATTATTGACAGTTTACCCACACAAATAGCAGGATTATATCATACAGAAGCATACTGTATCTATGTGGAGACTCTTTGATCCTTTTATGTATTGACAACCACACTGCCCTAGAATGGCACAGAATTTGATTGATGCCCTGAATATCTGTATTATTGGCTATCTTTTGGAATAGAATATGTAATGGTCCAAAAGGAGTTGTCAAACCACTTTCCAATGTAACCCATCTCTCCTCAACCTCCTCTCTCCTCCAGTGCTTAGCCATTCTGGTATAGCTCGAAAGCCAAATTGTACAGTTCCGCATGGATTTTCTGCATACTGATGCATGGTCTTTTTCCACACACATATAAAGTCTTAATAATACCATTACACTGCTTAAAAATGTATGATGGAATGCATATCGCTAGCATCATTGAAATATAATTAAACTTAGGAACAACCATCCATTTTAATGAAATACATTTTTCCACATAAACTAAGATTTCACATCTTCCACTGGAAGCATATTGATATCCACTATCTTATTAAACTCTGATGTCAATATAATCCCCAGATATTTCATACCCGATTGCATCCACTTGAAATTAAAAGGGGTAACCATTGCTGATGGGCATATTGTAGAGACTGGCATAGCCTCAGATGTATGCCAATTAACCTTATATCCAGAAATAACAGAAAATATCTCCACAGTTTTGAGCAGTGGTGAGATTGATGACATGGGGTGTTTAATCAGCAACAAAATGTATCAACAGCATTTAAGAACAAATTATGTTCCTCTCCCCCATTATAAACTCCCTGAATATCTGGATTTCCAATTACAGAGATAGCCAGATGCTCGAACACTATCAAAAACAGTAAAGGAGAAAGTGGGTCTCCCTGTTTTGTAGATCTACAGTGCATTCAGAAAGTATTGAGACCCCTTGACTTTTTCCACATTTTGTTACATTACAGCCTGACTGAAAAACAGCTTCTATCTCAAGGCCATCAGACTGTTAAATAGCCATCACTAGCCGGCTACCACCCGGTTACTCAACCCTGCACCTTTGAAGCTGCTGCCCTATATACATAAATTAAATCAAATCAAATGTTATTGGTCACATACTCGTGTTTAGCTGATGTTATTGCGGGTGTAGCGAAATGCTTGTGTTTCTAGCTCCGACAGTGCAGTAATATCTAACAAGTAATATCTAACAATTTCACAACACATACCCAATACACACAAATCTAAGTAAAGCAATGGAATTAAGAATATATACATATATGGATGAGCAATAAACATTATTAAAGTAACTAGTGTTCCATTTACTAAAGTGGCCAGTAATTTCTAATCTATGTATATAGGCAGCAGCCTCTAATGTGCTAGTGAAGGCTATTTAACAGTCTGATGGCCTTGAGATAGAAGCAGTTTTTCAGTCTCTGTCCCAGATTTGATGCACCTGTACTGACCTCGCCTTCTGGATGATAGCGGGGTGAACAGGCAGTGGCTTGGGTGGTTGTTGTCCTTGATGGTATTTTTGGCCTTCCTGTGACATCGGGTGCTGTAGGTGTCCTGGAGGGCTGGTAGTTTGCCCCAGGTGATACGTTGGGCAGACCGCACCACCCTCTGGAGAGCCCTGCGGTTGCAGGCGGTGCAGTTGCCGTACCAGGCAGTGATACAGCCCGACAGGATGCTCTCAATTGTGCATCCGTAAAGGTTTGTGAGGGTTTTAGGTGCCAAGCCAAATTTCTTCAGCCTCCTGAGGTTGAAGAGGCACTGTTGCGCCTTCTTCACCACACTGCCTGTGTGGGTGGACCATTTCAGTTTGTCAGTGATGTGTACACCAAGGAACTTGAAGCTTTCCACCTTCTCCACTGAAGTCCCATCGATGTGAATAGGGGGGTGCTCCCTCTGCTGTTTCCTGAAGTCCACGATCATCTACTTAGTTTTGTTGACGTTGAGTGAGAGGTTATTTTCCTGGCACTACACTCCCAGAACCCTCACCTCCTCCCTGTAGGCTGTCTCGTCATTGTTGGTAATCAGACCTTCTACTGTTGTGTCGTCTGCAAACTTGATGATTGAGTTGGAGGTGTACTTGGCCACGCAGTCATGGGTGAACAGGGAGTGCAGGAGGGGGATGAGCACGCACCCTTGTGGGGCCGCAGTGTTAAAGATCAGCGAAGTGGAGGTGTTGTTTCCTACCTTCACCACCTGGGGGCAGCCTGTCAGGATGTCCAGGACCCAGTTGCACAGGGTGGGGTTCACACCCAGGGCCTTGAGCTTAATGATGAGACATGGCATCACTGGTCACTTTAATAATGGAACACTAGTCACTTTAATTGGTTTACGTACTGCTTTACTAATTTCATATGTGTATACTGTATTCTATTCTACTGTATTTTAGTCAATGCCACCCTGACGTTACTCATCCTAATATTTATATATATATTGTATTAATTCCGTTATTTTACTTTTATTTTTGTGTGTATTATTGTGAATTGTTAGATACTACTGCACAGTTGGAGCTAGGAACACAAGTATTTCGCTACACCCGCAATAACATCTGCTAAATATGTGTATGTGACTAATAAAATTTGATTTGATTTGAGATGTTCGATTGGGTTCAAGTCCGGTGTCTGGCTGGGCCTCTCAAGGACATTCAGAGATTTGTCCCGAAGCCACTCCTGCGTTGTCTTGGCTGTGTGCTTAGGGTCGTTGTCCTGTTGGAAGGTGAACCTTCGACACAGTCAGGTCCTGAGCGCTCTGGAGCAGGTTTTCATCAGGATCTCTCTGTACTTTACTCCGTTCATCTGTCCCTAGATCGTGACTAGTCTCCCAATCCCCACAACATGATGCTGCCACCACCATGCTTCACCTTAGGGATGGTGCCAGGATTTCTCCAGACGTGATGTTTGGTATTCAGGTCAAAGAGTTCAATCTTGGTTTCATCAGAGAATCTTGTTTCTCATGGTCTGAGAGTCCTTTACGTGCCTTTTGGCAAACTCCAAGTGGGTCGTCATGTGCCTTTTACTGAGGAGTGGCTTCCGTCTGGCCAATCTACCATAAAGGCCTGATTGGTGGAGTGCTGCAGAGATGGTTGCCCTTCTGGAAGGTTCTCCCATCTCCACAGAGGAACTCTGGAGCACTGTCAGAGGGACCATCGGGTTCTTGGTCACCTCCCTGACCAAGGCCCTTCTCCCTCAATTGCTCAGTTTGGCCGGGCAGCCAGCACTAGCAAGTGTCTTGGTGGTTCCAAACTTCTTCCATTTAAGAATGATGGAGGCCACTGTGTTCTTGGAGACCTTCAATGCTGCAGATATTTTTTGGTACCCTTCCCCAGATCTGTGCCTCGACGTAATCCTGTCTCGGAGCAATTCCTTTGACCTCATGTCTTGGTTTTTCCTCTGACATGCACTGACAACTGTGGGACCTTACAGTGCCTTGCAAAAGTATTCATCCCAATTGCCGTTTTTCCTATTTTGTTGCATTACAACCTGTAATTTAAAGACCAAAGATAACCCTGAAGGAGCTGCAAAGCTCCACAGCAGAGATTGGAGTATCTGTCCATAGGACCACTTAGGACCACTTTGTGGTCCTCTGTAGCTCAGCTGGTAGAGCACGGCGCTTGTAACGCCAAGGTAGTGGGTTCGATCCCCGGGACCACCCATACACAAAAATGTATGCACGCACGACTGTAAGTCGCTTTGGATAAAAGCGTCTGCTAAATGGCATATTACATTACATTACAATTTTTTAAGCTATACACTCCACAGAGTTGGCCTTTATGGAAGAGTGGCCATAAAAAAGCCATTGCTTAAAGAAATAAATAAACAAACACGTTTGGTCTTCACATGTGGAAGACTCCCCAAACATATGGAAGAAGGTACTCTGGTCAGATGAGACAAAAATTGAGCTTTTTGGTCATCAAGGAAAACGCTATGTCTGGCGCAAACCCAACACCTCTCATCACCCCGAAAACACCATCCCCACAGTGAAGCATGGTGGTGGCAGCATCATGCTGTGGGGATGTTTTTCATCGGCAGGGACGGGGAAACTGGTCAGAATTGAAGGAATGATGGATGGTGCTAAATACAGGGAACTTCTTGAGGGAAACCTGTTTCCCTCTTCCAGAGATTTGAGACTGGGACAGAGGTTCACCTTCCAGCAGGACAATGACCCTAAGCATACTGCTAAAGCAACACTTGAGTGGTTTAAGGGGAAACATTTAAATGTCTTGGAATATCCTAGTCAAAGCCCAGACCTCAATCCAATTGAGAATCTGTGGTATGACTTAAAGATTGCTGTACACCAGTGGAACCCATCCAACTTGAAGGAGCTGGAGCAGTTTTGCCTTGAAGAATGGGCAAAAATCCCAGTTGCTAGATGTGCCAAGTTTATAGAGACATACCCCAAGAGACTTGCAGCTGTAATTGCTGCAAAAGGTGGCTCTACAAAGTATTGATTTTGGGGGGGTGAATAGTTATGCATGCTCAAGTTTTCTGTTTTTTTGTCTTATTTCTTGTTTGTTTCACAATAAAAAATATTTTGCATCTTCAAAGTGTTAGGCATGTTGTGTAAATCAAATGATACAAACCCCCCAAAAATCCATTTTAATTCCAAGTTGTAAGGTAACAAAATAGGAAAAATGCCAAGGGGGGTGAATACTTTCGCAAGCCACTGTATGTAGACAGGTGTGTGCCTTTCCAAATCATGTCCAATCAATTGAATTTACCACAGGTGGACTCCAATCAAGTTGTAGAAACATCTCAAGGATGATCAATGGAAACAGGAGGCCATGAGCTCAATTTCAAATCTCATAGCAAAGGGTCTGAATACTTATGTAAATAAGGTATTTCAGTTTTTTATCTTTAATACATTTGCAAACATTTCTAAAAGCCTGTTTTCGCTTTGTCATTATGGGGTATTGTGTGTAGATTGATGAGGACATTTTTTATTTAATCCATTTTAGAATAAGGCTGTAACGTAACAAAACGTGGAAAAAGGGAAGGGGTCTGAATACTTTCCGAATGCACTGATAATTTAAAACATTTAGAAATCATTCCATTAGTCTGTACAGCTGCCCTTGGACTGGAATACAGGACATCAATCCAATTCATAAACCCAGGACCAAAACCTATACTACTGAGGACAAATGTAATACCTTCTCTTCATTAAGAGACAAAGCAGTGACAGGCCAGGATGCAGACTTATTCAGCCACATGAGATGCAACAAACATCTGTAGCTATCACCTGAGTTCCTATTTTTGACAAAGCCAACCTGGTCAGTGTGGAAGATATTGGGAATAGTTTTCTCCAGTCTAGAGGACATAATCTTAGATAGCACCTTTCCATCTACATTACTAAGGCTGATGGGTCTATACCTTCCAGGGTCGGTCAATTCTTTAGCCTTTCTGGGGATTAAAGTTATTAGTGCTTCCTTTTTTATGCATTCTTTACCCCATTTTCTCCCCAATTGGTAGTTAGAGTCTAGTCTCATCGCTTCAACTCCCCTATGGATTCGGGAGAGGCGAAGGTCGAGCGTCCTCCGAAACATGACCCTGCCAAGCTGCGCTGCTTCTTGACACACTGCTCGCTTAACCCGGAAGCCAGCCGCACCAACGTGTGGGAGGAAGCACAGTCCAGCTGGTGACCAGAGTCAGCTTGCAGGCACCCGGCCCGCCACAAGGAGTCGCTAGAGCGCGATGGCCAACCCCTCCCCTAACCCGGACAACGCTGGGCCAATTGTGCGCCGCCTCATGGATCTCCCGGTTACGGCCGGCTGTGATACAGCCCGGGATCGAACCCAGGTCTGTAGTGACGCCTCAAGCACAGCAATGCAGTGCTTTAGAACGCTGCGCCACACGGGAGGCCTTATTAGTGCTTCCTTAAATGAATAAGGAAGAGTATTCAATTGCACTGCTTCAGTGAATACTTCAGTCAGTATAGGGGCTAGTATATCTACTTAAGACCTTCCAGGGTCGGTCAGGTCTTTACAATTTGGAGGAATTAAAGTCATTAGTACTTCCTTAAATGAAACAGGAAGAGTATTCAATTGCACTGCTGCAGTCAATACTTCAGTCAATATAGGGGCTAGTATATCTACATAAGACTTGTAATACTGTACTGGTAGGCCATCTAAACCTGGTGATTTTCCATTACTTAGCTGGGCAATAAACTTTCTAACCTCCACCTCTCAAATGGGTGCATCCATACACCCAGCTTGTTCTGAAGAAATTTCAGGCAAATTTAATGCACCAAAAACATTATTGTAATCTGCATCCACTGAGTTATCCTCTGACTGGTATAGACTCTTGTAAAACTCATAGAAGTCAGTAGCCTACAGAGTAATATGAGAATGCAATTGCTGAATTTATGTTGATATTCTAAACTCATTGTTTTTGATAACTTTCAAATGTAGTAACAGGTCCATGTGGAATAAACAAACCTTTACATAATACAATAGAAGCAGTGTTCTGCTATTATAACAATGTGCACGTTTCATCTTTCATTGTCATTCCCAGATTATCCATATACTGTGCTAATTGGCATTTTGTCTGGTGGTAATGGGGCCACTTTGGCAAACATGTCAGAGTGGTCATACCTTCCTGGTGTCCTGTATACAACAGGATTTCCCCGATCCTGGTGCAGAATAAATTGACTGATACCATTAAATTCAATAATAAAAAAAAACAATACAAGTCAAGATTGTGTCTAGTAAAAATGTTATGCCGAGTGCCAGGTCTCTCTACATTCAGCGATATCAGAATCAAACCCGTCTGCCAGTCTGGACTTCATCACATCATTTTGCATCATTTTTGTGCTGGCTCCATACATGTTTCTGTGAACACATTCACACATAGTCACCGTTCTATTACCAATGGCAGTTAGGATAGGGAATATCTGACACACAAACAGGTACTATGTTGAAGTTTGAACAGGCCTAATTCTGTTCTCCCCATCGACGACCGTTGCTACTCTGTTAATTATTTATGCATAGTCACTTTAACTCTACCCACATGTACATATTACCTCAACTACCTCAACTAGCCGGTGCCCCCGCACATTGACTCTGCACCGGTACCCCCCTGTATATATAGCCTCCCTACTGTTATTTCTTTTAACTTCTGCTCTTTTTTTCTCAACACTTTTTTGTTGTTGTTTTATTTAACTTTTTTTTATAAAATAATTAATGCATTGTTGATTAAGGGCTGTAAGTAAGCATTTCACTGTTGTATTCGGCGCATGTGGCCAATAACATTTTATTTTATTTTATTTGAAGAGGTGAGGCTGGAGGTGGGGTCTTTGCCAGAAACCCATTGATGGGCATAGCAGCGTAGATCACCTGCTGGACCCTCATCAAAAATGCAGGTCGATCACACACACACACACACACACAAACAGAGCACTGATTGGAACCAACCTAATCGCTGCGTTCACCTTTCTATTTCACTTCAGATATCATAAAATGTGAAGTAAAATAGAATGGTGAACACAGCGATCAGGCTGGTTCCACCAGCCTAGGCTATTCCCTCAACATTATATGCATCTAAGAAGTAGAAAATAAGCAACAAATAATGTCAGTTTACATATATTACGTTTCACAATTGGGTTATCAAATGTATCAAAGTAATGAAGTGGGTTACCTTCTGTATTTGTACAAATGATGAGCCTGTGAAAGCTACTGCCGCTGACAGGGAAAGGTTCCTGGCAGGATACTTGCCAACATGTGGCTGACTGTTCCATTCATAGGAATGCTCACAGCGAAGGCATGTCTGCATGATGCTGATGTGGGCCCCCTTGCTGGGCTTTTCTATGCTGCAAACTCGACATCTCTCGAACAACTGCAGCAGGCAATCTTATGAGGTGGTGTTGACTAGGAGGGCCTGTGACAGGGTGATATAATTGACAACCAAGTGGTATATTGCATTTTGTTCTAAAGAAAGGACAATGCACTTCACAACCAAAATGACCCTTTTAGTTGTACCTACTATTCTATCAAGCCGGGTATTTTTTAATACATCTTTTCACATTTCACATAACACACATTACCTGTCATTGTTGATGAAGCTGTCTGTGTCATCAGGGAAGTAACTTGCGTCACTATCAGAGGCCTCATGATGCCGTGTCCTTTTCATAGGAGTCGAGGGAGGTCCAAAAGGCTTCTTAACAGCTTCTACCCCCAAGCCATAAGACTGCTGAACAGCTAATCAAATGGCTACCCCACCCCCCCACCCTTTTTACACTGCTGCTACTCGCTGTTCATTATCTGTGCCTAGTCACTTTACCCCTACATACATGTACATATTACCTCAATTACCTTGACTAACCTGTACATTTTACATTTTAGTGATTTAGCAGACACTCTTATCAAGAGCGATTTACAGTTAGTGAGTGCATACATTTTTCATACTTTTTGGTCAGGTGGGCCTTGAACCCCCGCACATTGACTCGGTACCGGTACCCTCTGTATATAGCCTTGTTATTGTTATTTTATTTTTACTCATTTATTTTTTTACTTTAGTTTATTTAGTAAATATTTTATTAACTCTTATTTTTCTTAAAACTGCATTTTTGGTTAAGGGCTTGTAAGTAAGCATTTCACGGTAAGGTCTACACCTGGTGTATTCGGCGCATGTGACAAATAAAATGTGATTTGATTTGAGACTCTGGCAACAATGAGGAGGTGTCGCAAGGGTACTTGTGTTGCATGACACAATTTGCTTTCGAGATCTTGCCTGACAAGCTGTGAAAATAGCAAGTGAACAGTGAATTAAATGATTTTTTGGAGCTCACTAAACGATTGCAACCACATTGCTGGACCTGTTATGATTCCCACCTTTGCTCCTTCTGGTAGGTCCCGGCACCCAACTGTGCCCTTTGTCTATCAGAAAAACAGGGCCGACGATTATCATCACCCCTCAATAATAAACATAGCTCGAGAAATAAACGTCATCTCGTTTGGAAGCTATGCTTTACAGACTGGGTCCAGATTGGATTAGATTCAGGTCGATGACGCTGTTACACTATGCAATCAACTGTGACATGTTTTGCTATGGCCCTGAATTGGTTTGAGTTTGTTGCTGCTAGTTAATACAATTTTGTAGTCAGACATGAGTTAGCTAGTATCACCATAGCTGCATCCAATATTTATTTGTGCCCTAGACATTGGTTGCACCTCAGAGGCTAGTGACTGTTTAGTCTAAATTACACTAACTTAGAGTGGCATAGAAATATGATGACATTGCTAAAGTACGCAAATAATTAGCAGGAAACAACTTTGCCATATTATGATGTTGTCATATTTACTTTAGAGAGATGGCAATGTTGCCATTACTGTTACTCGCAAAGTTTTTCAAAAATAGCTAGCAATGCTAATTTCAGCTAGCTAAAATACATTGGTCCCCTCAATCTTAGTTAGCTGGCTAAAGTTATACTGCATCTAAAGTCAATCTGGTGACATCACAATCATGACAAAAGGTTTTCCTCGTAATGATTTGCCTTCTTTTTAAATGTTATTGTGTTTCCAAGCCAAATCCGAGTTGTATTGAGGTAGGCTAATGTTAGCCAGCTAGCTAGCTAGTTAGGTAGCTAGCTAGCTAGTTGGTAGCTAGCTAGCTAACTAAAGTCAGCTATTCTAGTGATAATAGTGATAATAATGATTATCAAAATACAGTGAGGGAAAAAAGTATTTGATCCCCTGCTGATTTTGTACGTTTGCCCACTGACAAAGATCAGTCTATAATTTTAATGGTAGGTTTATTTGAACAGTGAGAGACAGAATAACAACAAAAATATCCAGAAAAATGCATGTCAAAAACGTTATAAATTGATTTGCATTTTAATGAGGGAAATAAGTATTTGACCCCCCCTCAATCAGAAAGATTTCTGGCTTCCAGGTGTCTTTTATACAGGTAACGAGCTGAGATTAGGAGCACACTATTAAAGGGAGTGCTCCTAATCTCAGCTTGTTACCTGTATAAAAGACACCTGTCCACAGAAGCAATCAATCAATCAGAATCCAAACTCTCCACCATGACCAAGACCAAATAGCTCTCCAAGGATGTCAGGGACAAGATTGTAGACCTACACAAGGCTGGAATGGGCTACAAGACCATCGCCAAGCAGCTTGGTGAGAAGGTGACAACAGTTGGTGTGATTTTTCACAAATGGAAGAAACACAAAAGAACTGTCAATCTCCCTCGGCCTGAGGCTCCATGCACGCCGGGCGGGAGGAGGGGAGCCGGAGGAGGGCTAGAACTCCTCCGAACGGTCCGAGTGAACGTCCTCATCCTCGGAGGAAGCCGGAGGGCCGTGGTCGGGAGATGGGACAGGTCCCGAGACAGGATCAGGCACAGGACAGGAAGCCGAGCGGGCCGGACGGTTAGGGACCCCTCTGGGGCGGCCCCTACGGATTGCAGGTTGATCAGGATGCCGTTGGTGGAAAGCGGTGATGAGAGTCCTATCCACAATCCGACTAGCTGGCACCCAGGTCCTTTCCTCAGGTCCATAGCCCTCCCAGTCAATGAGGTACTGGAGACCCCTACCCCTCCGTCTGGACCGAAGCAGGCGGCGGACGGTGTAAACCAGACCACCATCGACGAGCCGTGGAGGAGGAGGACCAGGCGCAGCAGGGACCAGCGGACTCTCATGGATGGGCTTAATCTTAGACACATGGAAAGTGGGGTGCACCCTCAGGGAATTAGGCAGTTGGAGCCGGACAGCAGTTGGGCTAATCACTCTTATGATAGGGAATGGGCCAATGAACCGAGGTGCCAGCTTCTGCGACTCCACCCTGAGTGGCAGGTTCTTCGATGACAACCACACCCTTTGACCAACATGGTAGGTGGGAGCAGGAATTCTCCGACGGTTGGCCCCGGTAGTGTAGCTGGCAACGGATCTGAGGAGTGTGGCTCGGGCTTGTGACCAGGTGCGGCGACATCGACGGGCAAAAGCAAGTGCAGATGGGCAAGTAACCTCCTCCTCCTGGCTGGCAAATAGAGGAGGCTGGTATCCATAAACACATTGGAAAGGGGACATACCGATGGCAGAGCAGGTCAGAGAATTGTGTGCGTACTCCACCCATGTCAATTGCTGCGACCAGGAGTGGGGGTTGCGTGAAGTCATGCATCGCAGTGCCTTCTCGAGCTCCTGATTAGCCCGCTCTGACTGCCCATTGGATTGGGGATGGAATCCGGAAGTCAGACTGACTGTGGCTCCCAGCAGGTGACAGAACTCCTTCCAAAAAGCGGAGGAGAATTGTGGACCACGGTCAGAAACTACATCCCTTGGCAGTCCGTGGATCCGGAAGACGTGTTCCAGGACCACCTGGGCGGTCTCCTTGGCGGTTGGGAGCTTGGGGAGGGGAATGAAGTGTGCCATCTTGCTGAAACGGTCAACGATGGTGAGAATGACGGTCATGCCACTTGAAGGGGGCAGCCCCGTGACAAAGTCAAGGGCGATGTGAGACCAGGGACGTCTGGGCACAGGCAGGGGCTGCAGCAATCCGGCTGGGGGCTGGCAGGACGACTTGTGTTGGTTGCAGATGGGGCAGGCTTGGACGAATTCCCGTACATCCTTCCTCAGAGATGGCCACCAGAACCTCTGGGCGAGCAGGTTGTAAGTGCGGGTGGAGCCAGGGTGACAAGCTAGGCGGGAGTCATGTCCCCACTGAACGACCTGGGACCTCAGGTCTTCGGGGACAAAAAGGCGGTCAGCTGGGCAAGTGCTGGGACCTGGCTGGTTACGGAGAGCCTCCAGCACCTGTTCCTCAACAGCCCAGGTCAGAGCTGCAACGATGCAGGGACTTGGCAGAATCGACACAGGGTCCTTGGAGGGGGTGTCATCCTTCTGGAATTGACGGGAGAGGGCGTCTGGCTTGGTGTTGCGTGATCCAGGCCGGTATGACAGAGTGAAATTAAACCTGGTGAAGAACAGGGCCCAGCGGGACTGCCTGGAGTTCAACCGTTTGGCCGTGCGGATGTACTCCAAGTTCTTATGATCGGTCCAAACGAGAAATGGAATGGTGGACCCCTCCAGCCAGTGACGCCACTCCTCCAAGGCAAGCTTCACAGCCAGCAGCTCACGGTTCCCTATGTCGTAATTGCACTCAGAGGGGGACAACCGACGTGAGAAAAAGGCACAGGGATGGAGCTTCCTATCCTCCGCAGCCCACTGAGAAATCACAGCACCAACTCCCACATCCGAGGCGTCCACCTCCACAATGAATTGCCGGTCCACATCAGGCATCTGGAGGATGGGAGCGGAGGTGAACCTCACCTTGAGGGTACTGAAGGCCTTGTCGGCTGCTGGGGTCCAGGTGAAGGGTTGCTTGGTGCTGGTTAGAGCAGTGAGAGGGGCAGCAACGGTACTGTAGTTCCGGATAAACTTCCTATAGAAGTTAGCAAACCCCAGAAACTGTTGCAGCTTCTTTCTGTTCTCCGGAACTGGCCATGAAGTGACTGCTGATACTTTGGCAGGATCCATTTGGATACTTCCCTCTGCCACTATGTACCCCAGGAAGGCCACTGTCTTGACGTGAAACTCACATTTCTCTGCCTTGGCGTAGAGGGAATTCTCCAGAAGACGATGAAGGACTTGCTGGACATGGCGGGTGTGTTCAGACAGGTTTCTGGAGTAGATTAAGATGTCATCCAGGTAAACGAAGACAAACTTGTTTAACATGTCCCGCAGTACATCATTCACTAGAGCCTGGAACACAGCAGGAGCATTGGTGAGGCCAAAAGGCATAACCAGATACTCGTAGTGGCCTGTTGGTGTATTGAATGCGGTTTTCCATTCATCTCCCTCCCGGATCCGCACTAGGTGGTAAGCGTTTCTGAGATCCAACTTGGTAAAAACAGTGGCTCCCTGGAGCAACTCAAAAGCAGAGGTGAGCAGAGGCAGAGGGTAACGGTTTTTCACTGTGATGTCGTTGAGTCCCCTGTAGTCGATGCAGGGGCGAAGAGATCCGTCCTTCTTCCCCACAAAGAAGAAGCCAGCACCAGCAGGAGATGAAGATGAACGGATTAATCCTGCGGACAGAGAGCCATTGATGTAGTCCTCCATGGACTTTCTTTCAGGAGCAGACAACGAATAAAGACGACCCCTTGGAGGAGCTGTTCCAGGGAGGAGGTCGATGGCACAGTCGTACGGTCGGTGAGGGGGCAGAGATGTGGCTCTTGCTTTGTTAAACACCTCTCTGAGACCATGGTAGCATTCTGGGACATTGGAGAGGTCAGGAGCGGAGTTAGTAGGTACTGGCCGAGGGGGTAGTGCGGCAGCAAGCAGGCAGGTTCGGTGGCAGTCCTCTCCCCACTCCCTGATCACCCCGGTCACCCAGTCGAGCTGAGGGTTGTGCCGGCGGAGCCATGGGTAACCCAGGATGAGGGGTTGGCCTGGAGAGGGGAGCAGGTGAAACTGGATAGTTTCTTGATGGTTTCCGGACAGACCCATCGAGACCGGAGCCGTGACATGAGTGACCGATCCGAGTAAGTGTCCGTCCAGTGCCCGGGCAGGAATAGGAGGTGTCAAACGGAGGTTCTCCAGTCCCAGTTGGCGTGCCAGCTTGATGTCCATTATGTTGGCTTCGGCGCCAGAATCCACCAGAGCAGCCAGGGTGTGAGTTGAGTCAGAGAGGCGGAGGTGAACTTGCAGCAGGGGTTTGCGGTCGGAGGACTGGATGGTCATAGAACTCAACCGGACTCCCCCTATGCCCGGTGAGCTTCGGCCCTTTAAAGGGCAGGTTACCACACGATGTCCATCACCTCCACAATAGAGGCAGAGGTTTGAGGTGAAGCGGCGCTGGCGCTCTGCAGGAGTGAGGGAGGCTCGCCCAATCTCCATAGGCTCAGACTGATCAAGCTGACCTGGGTGAGTGGCAGTAGATGACAGGAGCCCAGTCGGATCTCTCCGAATGCCGGTAGTAGGTGGACCTTGGCGCCCCCTCTCACGACGACGGGTCTGTATCCTTCTGTCGATCCTGACAGTCAGTGCGATGGCTTCATCAAGAGTGGAAGGCAGTTCATGGGAGACCAACTCGTCCTTGATATAGTCAGCCAAACTATGGAAGAACGCGTCCACCAACGATGGTGTGTTCCAAGAACTTCGTCTAGCCAGGGTTCGGAAGTCGATGGAATGGTCTGCGACTGTACGTCTGCCTTGTCGAATACTGAACAGTTCACGAGACGCCTCTGCGGTGGGTGAATCCAGGTCAAACACCTTCAGCATCTCCTCAGCAAACAGGTCGAAGGTTGCACATGCGGGGGTTTGACGTTCGAACTCTGCTGTTCCCCAGAGTCGAGCTCGGCCCGTCAGGTGAGTGATGGCATACCCAACTTTAGCCCCCTCCGTGGCGAAGGTCCTTGGCTGCAAGGAGAACTGAAGTCGGCAGCTAGTCAGGAATGGCCGGACCTGGGTTGAATCGCCGTTGAACCGCTCGGGGTTTCCAATCTTGGGTTCCGGAGCAGCGGCTGCAATGACCGGGGCAGGTAACTCGGGGGCTGGGCTGGTGGGCAGACTGGCTGGGGTAAGGTTGGTGAGGAGTTGAATGATCATGGCGAGTTGTTGTTGCTGCTGCTGGAACTGCTGCTCATGCTCATCGGTTTCCATGTCGGGGAAAGTGTGCGCTGAGTCCATAATGGTCAGATCGTACTGTCACGGTTCAGACAGACGACCAGAGGACCACAATTGCGTCACACCAGAAAGTTTATTAAACTTAAGGGAAAAGGGAAGTAGGGAGTGAATGAAGGCTCCAGGGGTAACAGGGATCCCGTCCAATGCGCTGGGTCTGTGCCCCCCCCAGTGGCAGCGATGCGTCCTATGAAGCCGGTGGTGGGTGGTCCAGAAGTCCTGGGGGGGGGAGACACAGACACAACAGGGCGGAATGAAACCAGGCAGCAGTACAGTTCAAGGGAAATCCAAAATACGTAGTAGCAAGGCAGAAGGCTGGTCAGAGTTACCGGGATTGAAGAGTAGTCAGGAGTCGTAATGGCAGAAGCAGGTCTGGATCTCCTGAGGCAGAAGAGTATCCAAAAAACAGGCAGGTCCGGGGTCACAAAACCAGGGTGAGCCAGAAGCGCGAGCAAACAGGTTCCGGGTGTGAGCTTTGCAGACGATCTGACACCGGAGAGCTGAAAGACAGGGCCTTAAATACTGGGAGAGGTAGTGGGTAATGCAGCGCAGCTGGCAGAGTAATTAGAGCAGAGCAGAGCAGGGACAGGTGGAGCTAGTTAGGCTGAGTAGAGAGAGTGGTGAGCAGAGTGGAAGAAAATTAAGGTGGTAACCCGGTGGAGTGAGAGGCCCATGACAAGTAACACACTACGCCGTGAAGGACTGAAATCCTGCAGCGCCCGCAAGGTCCCCCTGCTCAAGAAAGCACATATACAGGGCCGTCTAAAGTTTGCCAATTAACATCTGAATGATTCAGAGGAGAACTGGGTGAAAGTGTTGTGGTCAGATGAAACCAAAATCGAGCTCTTTGGCATCAACTCAACTTGCCATGTTTGGAGGAGGAGGAATGCTGCCTATGACCCCAAGAACACCATCCCCACCGTCAAACATGGAGGTGGAAACATTATGCTTTGGGGGTGTTTTTCTGCTAAGGGGACAGGACAACTTCACTGAATCAAAGGGACGATGGACGGGGCCATGTACCGTCAAATCTCGGGTGAGAACCTCCTTCCCTCAGCCAGGGCATTAAAAATGGGTCATGGATGTGTATTCCAGCATGACAATGACCCAAAATACACCGCCAAGGCAACAAAGGAGTGGCTCAAGAAGAAGCACATTAAGGTCCTGGAGTGGCCTAGCCAGTCTCCAGACCTTAATCCCATAGAAAATCTGTGGAGGGAGCTGAAGGTTCGAGTTACCAAATGTCAGCCTCGAAACCTTAATGACTTGGAGAAGATCTGCAAACAGGAGTGGAACAAAATCCCTCCTGAGATGTGTGCAAACCTGGTGGCCAACTACAAGAAACGTCTGACCTCTGTGATTGCCAACAAGGGTTTTGCCACCAAGTACTAAGTCATGTTTTGCAGAGGGGTCAAATACTTATTTCCCTCATTAAAATGCAAATCAATTTATAACATTTTTTACATGCGTTTTTCTGGATTTTTTTTTTGTTATTCTGTCTCTCACTGTTCAAATAAACCTACCATTAAAATTATAGACTGATCATGTCTTTGTCAGTGGGCAAACATACAAAATCAGCAGGGGATCAAATACTTTTTTCCCTCACTGTATATATAAGCAGATACATGACCAGCAGTCTGTGGTCTATCTACCGGTATACTCACCACTTCTGGGGACCAACGAACTCCTACCATATTCCGCATGATGATAGAGTCCGTTCGGCTGGGCATGCAAACCATAGCTGTTGGCTGTGCATCCTGGTGGAAGCATGCATTGCATGGTCAATCTGTATAGGGCTTTTCAGTCTCAAACGGCAGTGATCTTTGAACGCGTTGGTTGAGGGCGATGAAACATTGGAGCCCCCTTCAATGAAGAGAAGCGTAGTGGGCAGAGGGGCAATTTGCCCATGGAGCTTGGCAAAAGGGGGCATGATTTGTTGATATAATTGTAATCCAAACCCAACCTTTTCCAAACTCCTTTTTAGACAAGACAGACTTTATGACCAAAATTATTCTATTTACACTTTGTAGTCAATTTTGACACTAGAATAAATGTTTCTGACTCATATCGATGCCACATAGTCCGTTTTCAAAGAGATGTGTTGTTTTTTAGTGGCAGTCGCTCTTTAAAAGCAACTTGGCATCGAAGAAAGCACCGGCACCACAACGAAATCAGTGGGATCTCGCAATTTGCAAAAAAATTAAAAAGGGCGCGATCAAACTAAGCTTCGGACATCATTGATCACATGGTAAATGTTACTTTGAAACTATCAGTCTATGCTATGAAACGAGCAACCTGTTTTTATTTTTAAAAAACCTTTACAAAAGATGAAACTGAACAGTCTATGCTTATCGAAACTCATTATTTAAAAGTTAGAAACACAATGTAGCCAGTGTTCCAAAGAAAACGATTTTTTAAAATGTTTTTATCTAGACTGGGCTTCGATCCTGTGCCTCCACAAGACGAGAGACTCACTCGCCGCTGGGCTGTGCCACCATCAAGTAAGAAAGGGAGAATAATATTTTGACTAAGTCTGTAAGTAGTGTACAGCAGAGGTATACGTTTGGGAAGCTACTGACTGAGGGATCAAACAAAACGTTGTATATCCTTTATCACGTGTTAACTGCTTATCAACTTTGCTTTGGGTTTGAATTAAACTTTTCCAACTCACTCTTAAATATTAACAAAAAACTTTGGATCCATAATTTGATAATGACCATAAACAACTATTAAAGCTGTTTAATTTACAATCACTTTTTGAGAAAGAAAAAATATCTAAATAGGCTTTCTCAAGATTCAGTACTAGTGTGCTACGATTTCAGGATAGATTCCTTTGCTGTGTGGCTCTATGCCCTGAGATATCTTTCCATCTGCTAAGAAGGTGAAATATCTAGAGAGAAATCTTCCAGCAGAGGTCGGGGCTCTCAGTTCCGAGTTCCGACACTTGTCAGATGGTAGTGTGACATCCGAAGCTTCGAACGTCATCATCACGTGGTATTGTTACTTTGATACAAGCATCGATACATTGTGTCGAATCAGTAGTGCTTTGAAAACTGCATCGGCGTGACGGAGCTCCGGTATCAATCATCCCATCACTACTTTTAGTGTTTGTCCAGTGAGTTTCCTCAATGAGAAATCCCCTCAAATATTTTGTTTTCAAAGATAATAAAACAAAAGATTATAAAACAAAAACACTGTAGTAAATACTACAGCACGGGTTGGAACCTAAATTATTTTCCAATCGTTTAGTTCTGAACAGAACCATTATTTTTTTAAATTCCGTTCCACTGGCACGAAAAAAATGTCTGGAACGTAAATAACGATATTAACCGGTTCCCATGATTTTAATAATACCGGTTCTGTTCTGGAAAGTATCGATCACTTTCTTAGTTGCTACATAGATTTTTGGACTTATAAATGAATAATATATTCCCATTGATTCTAGAAGAATATAATTTATGAATGGGTCATGAGATTAGATCAACTCTCGTACCCCATCAGAACCCAAATATAAGCTTGTTTTACTCCAATGTTTGTACACAACGTAAACATAAACAAACACTGTATAGCTTCAAAACATGGACAACTATAATTTAGATATTATGGATGGTCAGTCCTTGCATCCATAGCTCTGTCTATGAATTTGAGAGTGGCTGCACTTCTCCAGGCCCATCCCTCAGCATTGTTATTGTTAAAACTGCAGAGTCTAGCTTTAAGCACTATTGCTTATAACCACTTATACTTTTTATGAAAACAGCAGTCGGTTTCCCGGACACAGATATAGTACTGAACTAAAAAGTATGCTCAATGGAGATTTTCCATTGATAGTCTAGGACTAGACTTAATCTGTGTCCGGGAAAGCGGCTCTATGTCTTTGAAACTAGATCTAGTTGAATCAGTTTCATAACAATGTTTTGCTGTTCGATAAAAAGAAGATGCAATAATCAGTGTGACATCCATAACTCAGTGCAGGTGAGCAGAGAGCCTATGGACAAGGCTGTCAGATCCTCTTAGGAGAGAGAGAGAACAAAAGTTAATGGATACACTGACACCCATCTCCCTGTTGATTATGTACCCCCTCCCCCCATCCACCACACACACACACACACACACACACACACACGCACGCACGCACACACACGAAGCACTCTCACTCTCTCGCTCTCTCCCTCTCTCTGTCACTCACACCACCATCCTTCCCCTATCCAGGTGCAGAGGACAGAGAAGCGAGGGAGGGGGGGAGTGTGACTAGATGTGAGAGGACAGGAAGGAAGAGCGGGTGTATGAGCGTCTCTGTACTGACCCTAATAACAGGTTTTCAACAACACCATAGACTCTACCAGGACAGGCTAATGAAGGATTAACTGCCTGCTCATCTCCACACAATGACAGACAATATAAATATCACCTGCCAGCTTCATGAGATAGTCACCTGGAATACATTTCAATTAACATGTGTGCCTTCTTAAAAGTTAATTTCAGGTGAAGCTGGTTGAGAGAATGCCAAGAGTGTGCAAAGCTGTCATCAAGGCAAAGGGTGGCTATTTGAAGAATCACAAATATAAAATATATTTTGATTTGTTTAACACTTTTTTGGTTACTACATATATTCCATATGTGTTATTTCATAGTTTTGATGTCTTCACTATTATTCTACAATGTAATAGATAATAAACGGAGTAGCAGCTGCGTAAAAGCTGGGGTGGGGTGGGGAAGACAATGCAAATAGTCCGGGTAGCCATGATTAGCTGTTCAGGAGTCTTATGGCTTGGGGGTAGAAGCTTTAAGAAGCAATTTGACAGAATCATTATATCATTTGTTTTGGTACTGTCCATTTGTAGCTTGTTTTTGGACACATGTCCAGGAATGGCTAAAGGATTGCAATATTTACCTGGAGCTAACCCTGCAGATAGCATTACTGGGTGATCTGAAAAGTCAGTCAATCGATCAATAATATAATTATACTTTTAGCAAAAATGTTTATTTTCAATTTACAATCTGTAGAAACAATGAGAATAGAAAGGTTCAGAACTTTTGTAAAACATCACAGTACAGTTCTACATGGCAAATAGAAATCCAATATGGGTGATGTTAAGAGATAGATGGGTGGTGTTGAATGGAGTTGAAGGATGGGACTAATAACAACTAATAACAATAAAGTAACTAATAGTGTAAGCATACTGTGTCCATAATAAGTATATAGGTTGAGAGCTCTTGTGAAAGAGCACAGTTAGAAAGATATGGCATATAGAAGCAAACTGGATGGACATCATGAAAATGATCGGAGAGGTTGAGGGTAGAGGAAGTTCAGGAGTAAAAACAAACAAAATAGAATTATTGTAAAATTGACTGTGTCCATAAAATGTATATAGTATGTATAAGCTGGAAGTAGAGGCCTAAGCATTGTTGTTCACTAGTTTACTCCAATTAGGGAACACACCAAGACATCGTGAAGAGGGCACGACAAAGCCTATTCCCCCTCAGGAGACAAAAAAGATTTGGCATGGGTCCTCAGATCCTCAAAAGGTTATACAGCTGCACCATCGAGAGCATCCTGACTGGTTGCATCACTGCCTGGTATGGCAACAGCTCGGCCTCTGACCGCAAGGCACTACAGAGGGTAGTGTGTATGGCCCAGTACATCACTGGGGCCAAGCTTCTTGCCATCCAGGACCTCTATACAAGGCGGTGTCAGAGGAAGGCCCTAAAAATTGTCAAAGACTCCAGCCACCCTAGTCATAGACTGTTCTCTCTGCTACCGCATGGCAAGTGGTACCAGAGTGCCAAGTGTAGGTTCAAATTGCTTCTTTTTTTTCTCTCTTTAGGGGGTAGATCAGCTTTAATATTGCAGATAGATTGTAACTTCCATTAATGTAATTGTCTGCATCACTTCCAATCCCCCATATGTTTTTTTTTTCTCGCAAATGTATATATATACAGTGGGGGGAAAAAGTATTTAGTCAGCCACCAATTGTGAAAAAGTGTGAAACACTTTTTAAGTAGGAGAACTTGCACAATTGGTGGCTGACTAAATACTTTTTTCCCCCACTGTATATATATACAGTGAGGGAAAAAAGTATTTGATCCCCTGCTGATTTTGTACGTTTGCCCACTGACAAAGACATGATCAGTCTATAATTTAATGGTAGGTTTATTTGTACAGTGAAAAACAGAATAACAACAAAAAAATCCAGAAAAAAATGTCAAAATGTTATGAATTGATTAGCATTTTAATGAGGAAAATAATTATTTGACCCCTCTGCAAAACATGACTTAGTACTTGGTGGCAAAACCCTTGTTGGCAATCACAGAGGTCAGACGTTTCTTGTAGTTGACCACCAGGTTTGCACACATCTCAGGAGGGATTTTGTCCCACTCCTCTTTACAGATCTTCTCCAAGTCATTAAGGTTTCGAGACTGACGTTTGGCAACTCGAACCTTCAGCTCCCTCCACAGATTTTCTATGGGATTAAGGTCTGGAGACTGGCTAGGCCACTCCAGGACCTTAATGTGCTTCTTCTTGACCCACTCCTTTGTTGCCTTGGCGGTGAGTTTTGGGTCATTGTCATGCTGGAATACACATCCATGACCCATTTTCAATGCCCTGGCTGAGGGAAGGAGGTTCTCACCCGAGATTTGACGGTACATGGCCCCGTCCATCGTCCCTTTGATTCAGTGAAGTTGTCCTGTCCCCTTAGAAGAAAAACACCCCCAAAGCATAATGTTTCCACCTCCATGTTTGAAGGTGGGGATGGTGTTCTTGGGGTCATAGAGAGCATTCCTACTCCTCCAAACACGGCGAGTTGAGTTGATGCCAAAGAGCTCGATTTTGGTCTCATCTGACCAAAACACTTTCACCCAGTTCTCCTCTGAATCATTCAGATGTTCATTGGCAAACTTCAGACGGGCCTGTATATGTGCTTTCTTGAGCAGGGGGACCTTGCGGGCACTGCAGGATTTCAGTCCTTCGCGGCGTAGTGTGTTACCAATTGTTTTCTTGGTGAATATGGTCCCAGCTGCCTTGAGATCATTGACAAGATCCTCCCGTGTAGTTCTGGGCTGATTCCTCACCGTTCTCATGATCATTGCAACTCCACGAGGTGAGACCTTGCATGGAGCCCCAGGCCGAGGGAGATTGACAGTTATTTTGTGTTTCTTCCATTTGCGAATAATCGCACCAACTGTTGTCACCTTCTCACCAAGCTGCTTGGCGATGGTCTTGTAGCCCATTCCAGCCTTGTGTAGGTCTACAATCTTGTCCCTGACATCCTTGGAGAGCTCTTTGGTCTTGGCCATGGTGGAGAGTTTGGAATCTGATTGATTGATTGCTTCTGTGGACAGGTGTCTTTTATACAGGTAACAAACGGAGATTAGGAGCACTCCCTTTAAGAGTGTGCTCCTAATCTCACCTCGTTACCTGTATAAAAGACACCTGGGAGCCAGAAATCTTTCTGATTGAGGGGGGGTCAAATACTTACTTCCCTCATTAAAATGCAAATCAATTTATAACATTTTTGACATGCGTTTTTCTGGATTATTTTGCTGTTATTCCGTCTCTCACTGTTCAAATAAACCTACCATTAAAATTATAGACTGATCATTTCTTTGTCAGTGGGCAAACGTACAAAATCAGCAGGGGATCAAATACTTTTTTCCCTCACTGTAATTGGAATAAAGGAGGATTTACTTGTCAGTTCAATAAAGCATAGATTCTGCATTACTGACTAAAATTGAGATTTTCTGATTATAGTTCAACTATGGTTATGGGTTGTGTAGATTGATAGAACAGTCAGTGTTGATTTTGTGATGTAAGACTGGGATTTAGTAGTTTGCGGGATTCGAATTGAACGACTCACTTACTCAACAGGAATAGTGGGAGAAGTAAGAAAGTAATTTTTTGTGTTGCCTAATGAGTTGATAGTTTAAAAACTACTGAGAATAGAGTTGTAATGTGGACTATTGAATTGAATATGGATATGAATTAATTGTATGCTTGTCAACTATAACAAGTATTTGTTTTATTAATTAAAGCCTAATCAGAAAGGACAGTTACATAAATGTAATAGTGGACTGGCAATTGCGATAGAGCTGTGGCCATGATTTGAATTAATAACAAAGGAAAGCAATTTAATAGGGAATTTAGAATTTCAACTGTGAATTGTTTGGGTAGACTGAAAGGAAAGTAATGTCTTTTAGTGAGTCATAATTATGAAAGAGTGGTGGTTGGTGAATAGAGTGGTGGTTTGTGAATAAAGAGTGGTGGTTTGTGAATAGACTTTACTAATGCCATGTTCTAGTTCGCGGGTAAAAGAGAGTAAGTCCAGCGAGTACGAATCGAGCTTTAAGAGACATTTGAAGCAGAAGTCTGAATAGTTGAATGGAAAACATTTCTTTGACAAATTCAAATTGTTATTACTTTATTCTATAGTTTGCGTAACACCAGTGACGTATGCAAATAGTTAATGAATTCTAAAACGATAATTTGTTTTCGTTACATGGACCAGTGGAGTGTAGGTAGTTTGAACTATTATGCTGATGGGATAGCACCAACTTTATGTAGGTTCTAGATTTGCTAAACAACAAGTTTGTATTTTAAACTAAATCAATGCTACAATTATAACATTATCAGAAAAAGGCACAATCTAATGCGAAACAGTTATTACATATGTCATTGATCCAGTAATCATACAAGGATAAGAAGAATATTAAAAGAAAGGCAAGGGATAAAATCTCATTTTTGGAAAGAAGAAGAGTATGAAGAGATATTAGGAAGAAGAATACCATTAACTGAGGAATATAAAAGCTTTTAGCTGAGAAAGCTAACAGAAATAATGTACCTTGCATCCTAATATAAACACTGAACCAAACATAAGATTAGCAACAGAAAAGGCCAACAATACAAGGAGTAGGGATGGCAGGAACAGCAGTAGCAAGCATGAAGAGAAGGTTCCCAGAATATAGTGAAGAGATTGGTAAAATCTCTGATAAATAGGAAAAAAGAACCAGGAAACTAGCAGCAAAATGGCCAAAGGAGGGCACATTTGATGTAACAGTGTGTGAGGAAATGGATACCCTAATAAAGAACTATAACACAAGAGAGAAAGGGGAGAAAAGAGAGAAGAAGAGAGAGAAAGAGAGAGAAATCTTGAAAATATTCTGTGAGGAAGGAAAGAGTTGGAGGGACTGCATAGCCAAGGCTAGGAGGATAATAATGGAGAGGGAGAGTGAACCGAAAAAGGCTGGCTTGACTATACCACCACCATACACACAGTATTCTCAGGTCACAGGTCTATTCTCAATAATAGGGAATTTAGAGATAGAAGAAGAAAAAGGGAAGCAACAGTTTTCCACACCAAAAATTTAGAGATAGACTATTAGGGAGGGCTGAGGGGCATGCTAACGAAACTGGAAAATTATGGGATAGATGAACAAGAGAATGGTGGGCAAAAAGAGTGGGATGATGCAAGTAAGGAGGAGGATGAGGAACTAAAACAGTGGGCTGACTCTGAGCAAGAACAGAGTGAGACAGAGGGACGATTATCACAGCAAGGAGCCACAGGAGGCAAAACTATAGTAACAGAATTAGGTGAGGCACTGCAAGCCCATCTGGAAAAATCTAATTTAAGAAGCAGAAGGACAATAAAAAAGCCAGAAAAGTATGGAGCCCAATATTCCATTTTGGTAAAGGGGACACAGGTTCACTATGTGCCCTGGGGATCGCAGGACCTGGAAGGCCTGGTGACTAGACTGCCTAACCTGCATGAAGGAGCAGGGAAATGGATTAGAACATTTGAAGAACAAACGATGGGGAAGCTACTGGCGGTGGGAGACTTGAAGGCATTGCTGGCCAGGGTGGTGGGAGTGGCAAAAATGGAGGGCCTGTTGCAGGTGGGTGGCCTCATGCAGGCGGTGCGGAGGACGGTACTGGATGGAGTGGCCTTTGACAATTATAGGCCATGACTATGGCACACTCTGAGAATAGAGTATCCAGCCAAAATAGACCCTAAAGCACTAAGAGGGGAGCCATTGGGGGATACAGAAAACCTGGCAGGTTACCTGGAGGACCAACTCAAGAGGTGGCGACAAGAAACAGAAAGAGATCCAGAGGGGGATCCACTGATGACAACACTGTTCAGGACATCATTGATGGAAGCAATGCCAACGCCAGTCAGAAGCAGACTAGAAGATGTGGTGGGACTAACGTCAAAGTCACACAAAGAGTTCTGCGACTATGTTATCCACGCAGTGGAGAAATACAGGAAGGACAAAGAGAAACTGACAGAGCAAGGGAGAGACATTCAAAGAAAACCGACACAGATGCAGCTGGAAGAGCTGACGAAAGGAAAAAAAGAAAACACAAGCCCCAGTGATCACTCCAGCACCGCCTGAAGAGGGCATCATGGCACCTGTCATCCAGGGAGGTCAACAACCATCGGCTCAGCAGCAAGGCCAAAGAGTTCCTGCCTTACCAATAGTGAATGTGTATACACACCAATCCCCTGGGCAGTGGCAAAACAGAGGAAATGGAAACAGACCAAGGAATCAATGGTACCGACCACAGCAGCAGACACACCAGAATGGTGGACCAAGAAGACCAGGTGTCTGCTGGAGGTGCAATCAATCAGGACATACAAGAAGGAATTGTCCCACCTAGCCGTGGTGGCCTAGGCAACCACAACAGGGTAATTGGCAAGGAAATGGGCCCAGCTTAGCTGAATGGCAGCAGTCTCAGACACAGGCTCCACAGGGCCCAGTGAACCCGTGGGGAGGACCAAATCATGGATACTAGGGATGCCCAGGGAATCCTGAAGGGGAGGGTCAGCTAGTGGCAGTAACTATGCAGGCTGATGAAGAACCTATGCTGCAGGTTCAGGTGAATAATAGGCACCCCAAGGATGATAGATACTGGAGCAACTTATGTAGGCAAATATGCACAGACAACAGAATTTTCATGACAAATGCAGTTAATACATATGACAGTTCCAGTAAAATAAGAAGCAGGAAAAAGCTACATGTATACCTATATTAGTATCAGAACAAACTCCAGTTACTCTATTAGGAAGAGATGCACTGTGTAGAATGGAGGTCCAAATTAAATGCATATCAGAGAGACTAATAATAGTTCAGGAAGGGGTATGTCCACAGAAGATGATGGACCAGACCATCATCACATGAGTAAACTATTTTGGTAGAAGAGGGGCCACAGGGCATGTGGGAAAGTGCAACCACCGAGGCAAGAAATAGCATTTTTGGGGATTTGAGTTTTCGAAGTCACAAAGCATGTTGGGCGTGATCAAGTGGGAGCAGTGTGACTTGGGAAAAGCCTAGGGGTTTTAATCTCATGAGACTTTATTTCGTTTTCTGTGCACTGAATTGTGGAATTCACCGGGGAAGGGAGCAGTCACGAGTGATGTTCTTGAGGGTTTTCTGAGTGGGGGGATCAGGAGATGTGGACTGGTAAATTCAATAGAGAATGAGAATTTCGAATTTGAATTGTTTGGACTGGTTAAGAGGTATCAAAATGGGGGGTCCCGAGACCATTAAAAGGCCTGGCCATTTTTGTTTGTTGTTTTACTACATGTTTTTCAAATAACCACAAACAACCCACTTAGTATGAAATGTTAGCTGTATAGGATTTTTAGGGTTCTTTTCACGGGATAGAAGTGATATATGTTAAAGGACCAAACACATGTAATTTGAGGTTTTATTTACTGCGTGATGAGTAAATACATGTGATTTATTTTGAAAAGAGCTGTAGTAAGGACTTACTGTACACTTGGGATACAACATTTATGAAATGTTTTGATGGTTGTTTATGATTAGTCTATTATAGAATGAAACACTTATTTGAAAAGTTTGAATGACCTCTGACCTTTGTCCTGACTTTCTAGTGTGATTTGATCACCCACACTGGAAAACCGAGTGACATAGGATGATGAGTTTAAGGTAATTTATTATACCGAGTTAAGGGTAATTTATAATACTGATAATTATGAAGAAGTTTATAATTTGGCAATAATCCTAAATATCATTCCAAACAGGACAAGGATGAAGTGAGAGAGTTAATCCTGAATGAGGGATATTCTTTGAATAATGTTATGGGATACAATTAAGTTAAGATATTTTCAAAGGTTGTCATTTTAATTTCATTTATTATTTTGGTTTAACAGGCAATGTTGTTTTGTTTTTTGGACGCATGAATCACGATGTGTCCTGTGTCCAAAGGGGGGAGTAGTACTGGTCGGAAGTACTGGTCGCATGTTTTTTTGGGGGTAAATATGCAAGTTGTATTAAGTATATGAGCATTAGTAATAATGTGTTATGGGTTAGGTTAAATGTTTTTGTGATAGGAGGCAGGGTGTAGATGAAGCCTGTCTATGAAACGAGTGGACTGCAACAAGCTGCAAGAAGGTGCGCTTCCTAATCTCAAGGCTTCTCCTGACTGATGAGAAGACATGGTACAGTAGCATAAGTAGCATACTGTGTCTCACCTAACCTAACAATGTTCTTAAGACTTTCTTCCCATGGGTGAAGGTAACTCTGCCCAATTGAGCAGGATAAATTGAGCATTTTCTGCGCCCTGAAGACTATGTGACAGTAAAAGACTACAGAAGAAAGAGCTGGAAAGATCCTAGGCGGGGGGCCTGTACCAGGTGTTGTTGGCTACCTCAATGACAGTAAAAGAGACAGATACTTAGATCCATGTTTCCCACTATAGGAGTGTTCCAACCCCAGGAGAGGAAGATGGCCCTGCCATTGGGAAGCATTGTTGTCTTTTGTGTTTGTCTGTGTTTGTGTGTCTTTGCAGCAGTAACTCTGAGCTTCCCTATGGGTAGGCTGGTAGAAGGACACTCTTCGCAGACCGATGTCGATGGATTGAGAGGGACTGGCTGATCCGGAGACCCTAGTGACGGAAGAAGGTTAACAGCTAAAGTGACCATACATCGTCATCCAGGTTACACCAACGGCGGTACGGATAGAGGGGAGCGCGACCTGGTATCATCTAAACCATTGTACCAGAGTACCACGAGGGAACCGATTACTTAGAGATGAGGGAGCTGAGGATGCTGGAGCTGGCGAGAATCAGGAGATGAAGAGGATGGCAATTACTGATGAGCTACGTGTTCTTGCTGATTCCCTCGGCGGAGGGGCAGACCTTCGAGACTTTCAAGACCTTCTAGATCTTCAAGATATTTCAGACATCCAAGACGCACCAGATATCCCCATCATTGATTTCTCTGCCCTTGACTAGTCCCCCTGAGAATAAGGGGAATGACATACTGACAATAGTAAAGAGCAAAAGAACAAGACAGAGAAGAGAAGCAGACAGGAGTAAAATGTATATTCCTGCACAAGCAGGAACCAAAACTAAAATACAGGAAGGGATCACTATTAGAGTACGAGGGTTAAATGGTTATTGGTGTGGGAGGAACCAGCACAAGGATTATGGGGAAGTCACATGGGGTTGTGTGACCTTAAGATAATGAAAGAAAAAGACAGGTGGATCATAGACATAAGGATAACAGCCCAAGACTTAGATAAACTATTCAATGTAGTACTTATAAGTGCTACATTTCCAGGGGGCAGGGTTGTTAAAGTAGTTATTCCTTGGGAAAGTGCACTAAACCCTGTACATGTTAGAGCCATACCAAATGCAGAAGAAAGGGAATGAAAGGAACCGTTAAACAATGACTAGTATAGATGAGTACAATATATTCGATTAAAATTAAATAAAGAAAATAGTCTAATATTCACCACATCTCTGTTAAAATAATTAACAGTAGTTCCAAATCCCCAGGACTGTGCTATGACTCAACCACAACTTCTGTCATCTAAGGAATTCGGGAAATACCATATTGCCCAGCAGAATGTTTGTCATATTTAGGAAATCCTAAATATAAACAATGTTATAATCAAGCAGGATGGGGAGAGAAGTGTAAGCAATTAGATGTTAGAATAGGAACAAGGAAAAGGGAAACACCAGAGAAATATCAAATAAACTATGAGCAAATATAGGAGTGTTACAATAAAGCAATTGGGTTATATAATTTGGGAGAATTCAAGGGAGAATGTGAAACTATATGGCATTTATACAGACAGCCTTTGGAATGCAGACACCCCTCAAAGAAATGTATCAGGCAGCAGGGTAAAGTATTAGAAATTGGTATTAAGAATGATTGGTGAAACATAATAATTTGTCATATAGTCAATGCTTATAGGGATTCTTTGGATTGGAAATGAACTTAACTAAACTGTTATGATTTGTCCTTTCTCGAGGTTACTACGGATGGTGTCTAATGCATAGCAGAGATCATTCCGTCCAGAACGGTGTGAACCTCAATAAAAACCAAAAACCCTCTACCCGGCTGAAGAGGAGCAACAAAGGCGTTGAAGACGTTCCTGTCCAGCACCACCTCTACCAGGAGACCTGAATCAGAACCAGCATCCAATCGAAGCAATCAACTGCCTTTTCTCTTATTCCTTTTCTCTCAAGAATGTGACAGGAGTTCATGTGGAGTGAGCAGGAAGAGAGATCTATTCTAATACAACATTTCTCATAGTTTGGGTATACTGGTTGGCAAAACGGACAAAACAGAATGGAGGTAGAGGTGGGGCGGCTCAGGTGTGACATTGGAATTGGGACATTGCCATGGGCAATCCAAGATTAACTATGAAGCTATCTGAAGAACATAATGAAGACACGCCAGAAGATTGAGTGCCGGAGGAAGAAGGGATTGTTATTTGAGGTAGTAGGTTGATTAAGGAGGTATTATACACTGCTAAATTTATAGTAATTTAAACTAAGAATGCATTGAGATACTGATCTGTTGTTATTCTCCTTATGAGGGAGCTAAGGCTAGAATTATGGATAATTATACTGTATTTTAATATAAATATACATTCTGCTAGTGTCAATATGTGCCAAGGTGAGAGTTTTAACTTTGAGTGATGGAGCCAAGGTGACTAACTAAGAATTGTCATTCTAAATTTGTTTTGGGTAGTTAATTTGATTATGATTATGAATTTTAGCTGACTGATTGATCAGAATGAAGTTATGTGATTTAAAGATGTTGACACTATTCTCAACATGTCCTAGATATTACGGTTAAAACAAAATTTCATTTATTTTAGATATGATGTGTTAGGATACTAACACTTATATTGGAATTGGTTTGAGTAGAAACTTCTGAATTTTAATGTTTGAAAACTATAACCTTAAATGCCAGGATTGTGTCTGATATCATTATATACTTTTGTGATGTTGTGGGACAATGAGTCCCACATTGTGGGGATATGAGGAAGATTTTTCTAGTGGACTATGAGATAAAACTGAGTTAATCACGAACATGAAGTTAGAATTCTCTGTTGCAAGGCAAGAAACTTGTAGTAGATGCGAGCTTCAACTGGAAGCCAGTGGAGTGTGCGGAGGAGCGGGGTGAAGTGAGAGAACTTGGGAAGGTTGAACACCAGACGGGCTGCAGCGTTCTGGATGAGTTGTAGGGGTTTATAGAAAGAAGATATTTCCCTCTTTAATACTGTAGGTATGTAATTCAACATTCGTTTAGTCTGTTGTTGCTAGCGATATTCATAAAAACATTGAAATAAATCCACTTCAGAGTGACTTACAATCAGTGCATTCAACTAAATAAATAGATAAATAGATGGTCACCATCGATAAAACAACGACCTATCGCGATCATTGCAAGTGTACCGGACGTCACACTACCTGCTTAGCGAGTACCACTTCCTCCTGATTTGGCTCATACTGAGGCTCAAACCGAGAACCCCTGCCTTGCTAGCACATGTGACCGCCCTCCCGAAGCGTCTTACAAGTCGGCGGGGACATTTCAACCTGAGTAGTGAGTTTCCCAATGTGCAACACAAGCAAAACCTTCAAAATTGCCACTATCTGCAAAATCAGGTCTAGTATACTTAGCTATATGAGCACTTTTATACTTACATAGCATGACGGTAGAGAGAAAGAGCACTTTCAAACTTGAGCATTGACTTAACTCAAGTTCATGGTGAGGGGAGGACAGCTCATAATAGAGGATGGAATAGAGTGAATGGAATGGTATCAAACACATGGACATGGAAACCAATGTGTTTGATACCATTCCATTCATTCTGTGTCGGCCATTGGTATGAGCCTGTCCTCCACCACCGCTCAAGTTCCCGTTCAAGTTTATTTGCCATAACTACAGTGCCTTGCAAAATAATTCATCCCCCTTGGCGTTTTTCCTATTTTGTTGCATTACAATCTGTAATTTAAATTGATTTTTATTTGGATTTCATGTAATGGACATACACAAAATAGTCCAAATTGGTGAAGTGAAATGAAAAAAATAACTTGTTTCAAAAAATTCTAAAAAATAAATAACGATAAAGTGGTGCGTGCATATGTATTCACCCCCTTTGCTATGAAGCCCCTAAATAAGATCTGGTGCAACCAATTACCTTCAGAAGTCACATAATTAGTTAAATAAAGTCCACCTGTGTGCAGTCTAAGTGTCACATGATCTGTCACATGCATGATCTGTCAGAGAGCATCTGGTCAGCGCGGCGGTGGTACAGGAATCCTCATCTCTCCCAAGTGGACATTCTCTCTTTTCCCCCTGACCCATCTGTCTATCTCCTCATTTGAATTCCATGCCGTCACAGTCACTAGCCCATTTATCGCCCTCCAGGTTCCCTTGGAGAGTTCATCAATGAGCTTGACGCCTTGATAAGTTCCTTTCCTGAGGATGGCTCACCCCTCACGGTTCTGGGTGACTTTAACCTCCCTACGTCTGCCTTTGACTAATTTCTCTCTGCCTCCTTCTTTCCACTCCTCTCCTCTTTTGACCTCACCCTCTCACTGTCCCCCCCTACTCACAAGGCAGGCAATACGCTTGACCTCATCTTTACTAGATGCTGTTCTTCTACTAATCTCACTGCAACTCCCCTCCATGTCTCCGACCACTACTTTGTATCCTTTTCTCTCTCGCTCTCCTCCAACACTACTCACTCTGCCCCTACACAGATGGTAATGTGCCGTCGCAACCTTCGCTCTCTCTCTCCCGCTACTCTCTCCTCTTCCATCCTATCATCTCTTCCCTCTGCTAAATCCTTCTCCCTCCGATCTCCTGATTCTGCCTCCTCAACCCACCTCTCCTCCCTTCCTGCATATTTTGACTCTCTATGTCCCCTATCCTCCCGGCCGGCTCGGTCCTCCCCTCCTGCTCCGTGGCTTGACGACTCATTGCGAGCTCACAGAACAGGGCTCTGGGCAGCCAAGCATAAATGGCCTCTCTTCTCCAGACCATTTTCCGGAGACTTCTCCCTTACCTCACCTCGCTCATCAACTCATCCTTGACCGCTGGCCATATCCCTTGCGTCTTCAAGAGAGCGAGAGTTGCACCCTTCCTCAAAAAACCTACACTCGATCCCTCCGATGTCAACAACTACAGACCAGTATCCCTTCTTTCTTTTCTCTCCAAAACTATTGAGCGTGCCGTCTCTAGCCAACTCTCCTGCTATCTCTCTCAGAATTACCTTCTTGATCCAAACCAGTCAGGTTTCAAGACTGGTCATTCAACTGAGACTGCTCTTCTCTGTGTCATGGAGGCTCTCCGCACTGCTAAAGCTAACACTCTCTCCTCTGCTCTTATCCTTCTATACCTATCTGCTGCCTTTGATGCTGTGAACCAGCAGATCCTCCTCTCCACCCTCTCCGAGTTGGGCATCTCCGGCGCTGCTCACTCTTGGATTGCGTCTTACCTGACATGTCACTCCTACCAGGTGGCATGGCGAGAATCTGTCTCCGCACCACGTGCTCTCACCACTGGTGTCCCCCAGGGCTCAGTTCTAGGCCCTCTCCTATTCTCTCTATACACCAAGTCACTTGGCTCTGTCATATCCTCACATGGTCTCTCCTATCATTGCTACGCAGACGACACACAATTAATTTTCTCCTTTCCGATAACCAGGTGGCGAATCGCATCTCTGCATGTCTGGCAGACATATCAGTGTGGATGTCGGATCACCACCTCAAGCTGAACCTCGGCAAGACGGAGCTGCTCTTCCTCCTGGGGAAGGACTGCCCGCTCTATGATCTCGCCATCACGGTTGACAACTCCATTGTGTCCTCCTCCCAGAGTGCAAAGAACCTTTGCGTGACCCTGGACAACACCCTGTCGTTCTCCGCTAACATCAAAGCGGTGACCCGATCCTGCAGGTTCATGCTCTACAACATTCGCAGAGTACGACCCTACCTTACACAGAAAGCGGCACAGGTCCTAATCCAGGCACTTGTCATCTCCCGTCTGGATTACTGCAACTCACAGTTGGCTGGGCTCGCTGCCTGTGCCATTAAACCCCTACAACTTATCCAGAACGCTCCATCCCGTCTGGTGTTCAACCTTCCCATGTTCTCTCATGTCACCCCGCTCCTCCGCACACTCCACTGGCTTCCAGTTGAGGCTCGCATCTACTACAAGACCATGGTGCTTGCCTACGGAGCTGTGAGGGGAACGCCACCTCCTTACCTTCAGGCTCTGATCAGACCCTACACCCAAACGAGGGCACTACGTTCATCCACCTCTGGCCTGCTAGCCCCCCTACCTCTACGGAAGCACAGTTCCCGCTCAGCCCAGTCAAAGCTATTCGCTGCTCTGGCACCCCAATGGTGGAACAAGCTCCCCAACAACGCCAGGACAGCGGAGTCACTGACCAACTTCCGGAGACACTTGAAACCCTACCTATTTAAGGAATACCTGGAATAGTATAAAAGTAATCCTTCTACCCCCCCCTCCTCCACCCCCCTAATTTTTTTTTTTTTTTAATAAAAGGCGTTGTCCCACTGGCTATCATAAGTTGAATGCACCAATTTGTAAGTTGCTCTGCTAAATGACGTAAATGTAAAATGTAAAATATACACCTGTTCTGAAAGGCCCCAGAGTCTGCAACACCACTAAGTAAGGGGCACCACCAAGCAAGCGGCACCATGAAGACCAAGGAGCTCTCCAAACAGGTCAGGGACAAAGTTGTGGAGAAGTACAGTCGTGGTCAAAAGTTGTGAGAATGACACAAGTATTGGTCTTCACAAAGTTTGCTGCTTCAGTGTTTTTAGATACTTTTGTCAGATGTTACTATGGTATTCTGAAGTATAATTACAAGCATTCCACAAGTGTCAAAAGCTTTTATTGACAATTACATTAAGTTTATGCAAAGAGTCAATTTTTGCAGTGTTGACCCTTCTTTTTCAAGACCTCTGCAATCCGCCCTGGCATGCTGTCAATTAACTTTTGGGCCACATCCTGACTGATGGCAGCCCATTCTTGCATAATCAATGCTTGGAGTTTGTCAGAATTTGTGGGGTTTTGTCCATGGACCCAAATTTCAATGTTTTGTTCCCTGAGCCACTTAGTTATCACTTTTGCCTTATGGCAAGGTGCTCCATCATGCTGGAAAAGGCATTGGTCGTCATCAAACTGTTCTTGGATGGTTGGGAGAAGTTGCTCTCGGAGGATGTGTTGGTACCATTCTTTATTCATGGCTGTGTTCTTAGGCAAAATTGTGAGTGAGCCCACTCCCTTGGCTGAGAAGCAACCACACACATGAATGGTCTCAGGATGCTTTACTGTTGGCATGACACAGGACTGATGGTAGCGCTCACCTTGTCTTCTCTGGACAAGCTTTTTTCCGGATGCCCCAAACAATCGGAAAGGGATTCATCAGAGAAAATGACTTTACCCCAGTCCTTAGCAGTCCAATCCCTGTATCATCTGCAGAATATCAGTCTGTCCCTGATGTTTTTCCTGGAGAGAAGTGGCTTCCTCGCTGCCCTTCTTGATACCAGGCCATCCTCCAAAAGTCTTCGCCTCACTGTGCGTGCAGATGCACTTAAACCTGCCTGCTGCCATTCCTGAGCAAGTTCCGCACTGGTGGTGCCCCGATCCCGCAGCTGAATCAACTTTAGGAGACGGTCCTGGCGCTTGATGGACTTTCTTGGGCGCCCTGAAGCCTTCTTCACAACAATTGAACCTCTCTCCTTGAAGTTCTTGATGATCCGATAAATGGTTGATTTAGGTGCAATCTTACCAGCAGCAATATCCTTGCCTGTGAAGCCCTTTTTGTGCAAAGCAATGATGACGGCACGTGTTTCCTTGCAGGTAACCATGGTTAACAGAGGAAGAACAATGATTTAAAGCACCACCCTCCTTTTAAAGCTTCCAGTCTGTTATTCTAACTCAATCAGCATGACAGAGTGATCTCCAGCCTTGTCCTCGTCAACACTCTCACCTGTGTTAACGAGAGAATCACTGACATGATGTCAGCTGGTCCTTTTGTGGCAGGGCTGAAATGCAGTGGAAATGTTTTCTGGGGATTAAGTTAATTTTCATGGCAAAGAGGGACTTTGCAATTAATTGCAATTCATCTGATCACTCTTCATAACATTCTGGAGTATATGCAAATTGCAATCATAAAAACTGAGGCAGCAGACTTTGTGAAAATTTATATTTGTGTAATTCTCAAAACTTTTGACCACGACTGTACAGATCAGTGTTGGGTTATAAAAAATATCAGAAACTTTGAACATCCCATGGAGCACCATTAAATTCATTATTAAAATATAGAAAGGATATGGCGCCACAACAAACCTGCCAAGAGAGGGCCACCCACCAAAACCCACGGACCAGGCAAGGAGGGCATTAATCAGAGAGGCAACAAAGAGACCAAAGATAACCCTGAAGGAGCTGCAAAGCTCCACAGCGGAGATTGGAGTGTCTGTCCATAGGACCACTTTAAGCCGTACACTCCACAGAGCTGGGCTTTACGGAAGAGTGGCCAGAAAAAAAGCCATTGCTTGAAGAAAGAAATAAGCAAATGCGTTTGGTCTTCGCCAAAAGCCATGTGGGAGACTCCCCAAACATATGGATGAAGGTACTCTGGTCAGATGAGACTAAAATTAAGCTTTTTGGCCATCAAGGAAAATGTCTGGTGCAAACCCAACACCTCTCATCACCCTGAGAACACCATCCCCACAGTGAAGCACGGTGGTGGCAACATCATGCTGCTGTGGAGATGTTTTTCATCGGCAGGGACTGAGAAACTGGTCAGAAATGAAGGAATGATGGATGGCGCTAAATACAGGAAAATTGGCGCCACAACAAACCTGCCAAGAGAGGGCCACCCACCAAAACCCACCATTGCTTAAAGAAAGAAATAAGCAAATGCGTTTGGTCTTCGCCAAAAGCCATGTGGGAGACTCCCCAAACATATGGATGAAGGTACTCTGGTCAGATGAGACTAAAATTAAGCTTTTTGGCCATCAAGGAAAATGTCTGGTGCAAACCCAACACCTCTCATCACCCTGAGAACACCATCCCCACAGTGAAGCACGGTGGTGGCAACATCATGCTGCTGTGGAGATGTTTTTCATCGGCAGGGACTGAGAAACTGGTCAGAAATGAAGGAATGATGGATGGCGCTAAATACAGGAAAATTATTGAGGGAAACCTGTTTCCGTCTTCCAGAGATTTGAGACTGGGACGGAGGTTCACCTTCCAGCAGGACAATGACCCTAAGCATACTGCTAAAGCAACACTTGAGTTGTTTAAGGGGAAACATTTACATGTCTTGGAATGGCCTAGTCAAAGGCCAGACCTCAATTCAATTGAGAATCTGTGGTATGACTTAAAGATTGCTGTACACCAGCGGAACCCATCCAACTTGAGGAAGCTGGAGCAGTTTTGCCTTGAAGAATGGGCAAAAATCCCAGTGGCTAAATGTGCCAAGCTTATAGAGACTTATAGATACCCCAAGAGACTTGCAGCTGTAATTGCTGCAATAGGTGGCTCTACAAAGTATGCACACTCAAGTTTTTTTGTTTGTTTCACAATGAAAAATATTTTGCATCGTAGGCATCTTGTGTAAATCAAATGATACAAAATAGGAAAAATGCCAAGGGGGTGGTGAATACTTTCGCAAGCCAATGTAATTAGTACATTGGATATCTTATTCACTCAGCGAGATGGGAGCAATTAGAACACTTTATTACTTGAAACTGTTTGTCCAACCATAGCCATTTGTTGTGCTTAATCTGATTTAGTCTCAAATGGAACCCTATTCACTATATAATGCACTACTCTATGGGCCCTGGTCAATAGGACACTATATAGGGAATAGGGTGCCATTTTGGTCAGACTTACTTTGAACTGTTTATCTAATCAAGAAGTTTTCCTAAGATTGTCATCGGCAGTAGACGAGGTGTAACTGAGGTGTGTGTGTATGTGTGTGTGTGTTTCTGTGTGTATGTGTATCTGAGGTGGAACTGTATAAAACAGTTCCTTCTTTCTCATTTCCAGCACAAATAAGTTCTACATTCAGTTCAAGTCTTACATTTTGCTGTAATTATGTCACTTAGCAGATGTTTTTATCCAAAGTCACTTACAGTGCAGTGAGTGCATAATGTTATTAACATGAGACAAGCACTGCTTATGCATGTGTTATGTATGGGTTATGACGTTTTATGAAGTCCTTATGTAGGTACCCTTCAGATAAAATGTTACTGTTATTGACAGCCAGAATTCCAATTTATTTAGCCAGGAAATCCCTTATTTGTCAAGGGAAGGGGGATACCTAGTCAGTTGCACAAATGCATTCCACTGAAATGTGTCTTCTGCATGCAACCCAACCGCTCTGAATCAGAAGAGCTGCCTTAATCGACATCCACGGAGCAGTTGTTGTTGGGGGTTAACTGCCTTGCTAAAGAGCAGAACAGCAGATTTTTCAAACTTGCCGGCTCAGGGACTCGAACCAGCGACCTTTTGGTTACTGGCACAACGCTCTTAACCGCTAGGCTATCTGCCACCCCTAAGTTTCAGCTGAAATGGCACCCTATTCCATATATAGTGAACTAGGGCCCATGCACTACTTACAGTACTTTTGACCAGGGACCATATGGCTCTGGTCGAAAGTAGTGCACTATATAGGGAATAGGGTGCCATTTCAGACGTAGTAAGCTTTCGAACGCAAATGATTTCGGAAGCAGCCCAAGCTTCCAGAATGTATATCCAGCAATATATGTTATGTCCACATTAAAATGTATGTTAACTGTGTGCCCAGAGTGCATGGAGCAACCCCAGACCCCCTGTGAGATTGCTAGAGATGCCGTGGACCCTAACTTGATTGGAACCTTCATCCCCCAGTGTGACAACACACCCCTCAGCAGTGCTGGGGCTCTACAGGTTACCACACACACACCCGCACATAGATTACCGTACCAGAAATAGATGAAGCCCCTAGAGTCGATTTCCACGGCCCAGTAAACATCTAATTAGCATAATACAATAATCCTTATCAAAATCCGTCGGTTTAAGCTAGAGATATTCTTTTGCATTGGTGCATCTCAATCCACCACATCTGCCGATGTCTGCTGTGAAAGTTGGCAGAGCTGAGGTGGTGTTTGTCAGACCATGAGACATCCAGAAAATCAGTCTTCTCACGAAAACGTCTGTAGCGTCCGAACGGTTTGGCCTAAAACTAATTGTTTCCTGATATCTATCAGATATAGGACGGACACTTACATTTTACATTTTAGTCATTTAGCAGACGCTCTTATCCAGAGCGACTTACAGTTAGTGAGTGCATACATTTTCATACTGCCCCCCCGTGAGAAACGAACCCACAACCCTGGCGTTGCAAGCGCCATGCTCTACCAACTGAGCTACAGTGGACCTGTAGGACAAACCTCCTTTAGATTTTTTGGGGGACTATCTGTTGTTCCATGCATTGAATGTGTTATTCATTGCGTTTATAAGGGATAATAGCAGTAAGGCCAAATTCAATGTTTCATCAAATACATGTGTATATATTTTCTTAATATTTCAAGGGGTCTTAAAATTAAAAATCAAAGAGCTAAATGATCATTGGTATGACCTTCTTAAAACAATTCCATATACCTTAGTAGACTATGAACAGAACTATGAAATAACACATATGGAATCATGTAGTAACCATGTTAAACGTTTGAGCCAATCAGTTGTCTTGTGACAAGGTAGGGGTGATATACAGAAGATAACTCTATTTGGTAAAAGTCCATATTATGGCAAGAACAGCTCAAATAAGCAAAGAGAAACGACAGTCCATCATTAGTGCAGTCGCAAAAACCCTCAAGCGCTATGATGAAACTGGCTCTCATGAGGACTGCCACAGGAAACACGAGCAATGGACATTAGACCGGTGGAAATCTGTCCTTTGGTCTGATGAGTCCAAATTTTAGATTTTTGGTTCCAACAGCCGTGTCTTTGTGAGACGCAGAGTAGGTGAACGGATGATCTCCCCATGTGTGGTTCCCACCATGAAGCATGGAGGAGGAGGTGTGATGGTGTGGGGGTGCACTTAACCTGAATGGATACCACAGCATTCTGCAGCGATACGCCATCCCATCTGGTTTGCGCTCAGTAGGACTATCATTTGTTTTTCAACAGGACAATGACCCCAAAACACCTCCAGGCTGTGTAAGCGTTCTTCATGAAACTGGTTGAGAGAATGCCAAGAGTGTGCAAAGCTGTAATCAAGGCTACTTTGAAGAATCTCAAATATAAAATATATTTAGATTTGTTTAACACTTTTTTGGTTACTACATGATTCCATATGTGTTATTTCATAGTTTTGATGTTTTCACTATTATTTTACAAGGTAAAACCCATGAATGTACTGTATTTACAAACTAAAAATGCACTCCAAATTACCTTTCGTTTCAAATGCTCAGCTGGTAGAGCACGGCGCTTGTAACGCCAAGGTAGTGGGTTCGATCCCCGGGACCACCCGGGTTCGATCCCCGGGACCACCCATACACAAAAAAATAATAATTTATGCACACATGACTGTACGTCGCTTTGGATAAAAGCGTCTGCTAAATGGCATATTATCATTATTATATTAACATGCTACAATTGAATTTGTGTTACAGTAAAATGTGTTATTGTGTAAATATTGTATTTACAACACGTTTTTAAAGTTTTATGTACATTTCCGCTAGATTACTGTTGGTGTGTGACCAGCACTGGACAGAAGATCCCAGGTACTGAGTGTCCACCAGGCACTGCCCGAATGAATTCTGCACGTGCACACACACACACACTGACAGACACACACACGCACGCAAAGGCACATACAGTCAAGCTCACACGCACCTGCACATAGTCACTGTACGCACACACACAGAATCCAAATTACTTCATTCGCAAAATACATGTGCACATACCCGGAATTTGACTTAGTGAATAGGTGCAGCCAGTAGTAGACAATGTACAAACAGAATACAGACAGAATACAGACTACAGATGCACGCTGAAGATCCCGGGTACTGAGAGTCCACCAGACACTGCTCGCTGTGAGAGTACATGTAGGAGGAGTGTGTGTTTGTGTGCTTGTGTGTGTATGTGTGTCTGTGTGTTTGACTTTACCTGTGTGCTTTGTATCTAGAATGCAAGGAGCGACCCCAAACCTGACAACCTGGCCCTCATTTAAAAGCTTCTGGAAGTTTCACTTCATTTTATATTAAGGTACAGAAATGAAGTGAAACTTCCAGAAGCTTTAAAATGAGGGCCAGGTTGTCAGGATGGGTAATCTACTGTATAAGTACACATTAATTAAAAGTAAGTACCCCTCAAGATACACTTCATTTTAACTAGTGTCGTGAATGAACCTTGTCAGTATGGCCTGGTGACTCCAGTCTCCAGACAGAGCTATGGTAACACTGAGATGAAGATGAAGAAGAAGCAGAAGAAGGACAGGAAGTGGCCTCAACCACAAGCTGGAGAGCAGCAAAACCCAGACAGAGACAGAGAGGAAATGACTGTATGCAGATGAGGCGGCAGGTAGCTTAGTGGGTAAGCGTTTTGTGCCAGTAACTGAAAGGTTGCTGGTTCTGAGCCGACTAGGTGAAAAATCTGTCAATGTGCCCTTAAGCAAGGCACTTAACCCTAATTGCTCATGTAAGTCGCTCTGGATAAGACTAAAATCTTATCCAAAGACTAAATGACTAAAATGTAAAATGTAAATGATCCTCTGCCGGAGGGCGGAGGTTCATCTTATATGGCGACACCCCTGTCAGATCTAGACCCTGGGATGGAGTTGGTGGGCCATGAAACAGATGACACCACGGATTGTCATCACCTACGAAGGAACCAATGTGTTACCTGACTCTGTGTAGACATCATGTGTAAAGGAGACAATGTTTTATGTAACTTTGCTTAAATGTCACGTGTAAGGGGGAGGATGTCTTGTGTGGCTGTAGTCAAAGTAGGCATGGGCTTGACAATTAAGGGGTATACAACCCAATGTAAAAGATGGGGAAAGGAGTGGAGCGGAGCAGAGATACTGGGGAAGACAGATCAGGAGCTGATTGATGTATTAGACATTAGAAAACTTTTGGGGTAAGTTAAGGTCAGAACTTGATTGTTATTGTTAGACATTTTTGCATTATAATTGCTACAGTGCATTCGGAAAGTATTCAGACCCCTTCACTTATGTTACGTTACAGCCTTATTCTACAATTGATTAAATAGTTTTCCCCCCTCATCAAGCTACACACAATACCCCATAATGACAAAGCAAAAACAGGTTTTTAAAAACAAATTTCTAAAAATAAAATAACAAAAATATCACATTTGCATAAATATTCAGACCCTTTACTCAGTACTTTGTTGAAGCACCTTTGGCAGCAATTACAGCCTCAAGTCTTCTTGGGTATGATGCTACAAGCTTGGCACACCTGTATTTGGGGAGTTTCTCCCATTCTTCTCTGCAGATTCTCTCAAGCTCTGTCAGGTTGGATGGGGAGCGTCGCTGCACAGCTATTTTCAGGTCTCTCCAGAGATGTTCGATTGGGTTCAAGTCCGGGCTCTGGCTGGGCCACTCAAGGACATTCAGAGACATTTGTCAAAGCCACTCCAGCATTGTCTTGGCTGTGTTCTTAGGGTCGTTGTCCTGTTGGAAGGTGAACCTTCGCCACAGTCTGAGGTCCTGAGCGCTCTGGAACAGGTTTTCATCAAGGATCTCTCTGTACTTGCTTCGTTCATCTTTCCCTCGATCCTGACTAGTCTCCCAGTCCCTGCTGCTGAAAAACATCCCCACAGCATGATGCTGCCACCACCATGCTTCAACGTAGGGATGGTATTGGCCAGGTGATGAGCGGTGCCTGGTTTCCTCCAGATGTGACACTTGTCCAAAGAGTTCAATCTTGTTTCTCATGGTCTGAGAGTCCTTTCGGCAAACTCCAAGTGGGGAGTGGCTTTCGTCTGGCGACTCTACCATAAAGGTCTGATTGGTGGAGTGCTGCAGAGGAACTCTGGAGCTCCGTCAGAGTGACCATTGGGTTCTTGGTCACCTCCCTGACCAAGGCCCTTCTTTCCCGGTTGCGCAGTTTGGCCGGGCGGCCAGCTCTAGGAAGAGTCTTGGTGGTTCCAAACTTCTTCCATTTAAGAATGATGGAGGCCACTGTGTTCTTTAAAAATTATATATTTTTTTAGGGGGTATATCAGCTTAAATGTTGCAGATAGATTGTAGCTTCTATCAATGTGATTGTCTACATCGTTTCCAATCCCCTATATATTTATTTGTAACATTTACAATTCTTCAGCCATTCCTGGACCTACGACCAAAAACAAGATAGTACTAAAACAAATGATCTAATGATTCTGTCTCTTCGCAGCAAAATCTGCAGAGCTAGGATGGTTGTATCCCCCATATACAGTGGGGAGAACAAGTATTTGATACACTGCCGATTTTGCAGGTTTTCCTACTTACAAAGCATGTAGAGGTCTGTAATTTTTATCATAGGTACACTTCAACTGTGAGAGACGGAATCTAAAACAACTATCCAGAAAATCACATTGAATGATTTTTAAGTAATTAATTTGCATTTTATTGCATGACATAAGTATTTGATACATCAGAAAAGCAGAACTTAATATTTGGTACAGAAACCTTTGTTTGCAATTACAGATATCATACGTTTCCTGTAGGTCTTGACCAGGTTTGCACACACTGCAGCAGGGATTTTGGCCCACTCCTCCATACAGACCTTCTCCAGATCCTTCAGGTTTCGGGGCTGTCGCTGGGCAATACGGACTTTCAGCTCCCTCCAAAGATTTTCTATTGGGTTCAGGTCTGGAGACTGGCTAGGCCACTCCAGGACCTTGAGATGCTTCTTACGGCGCCACTCCTTAGTTGCCCTGGCTGTGTGTTTCGGGTCATTATCATGCTGGAAGACCCAGACACGACCCATCTTCAATGTTCTTACTGAGGGAAGGAGGTTGTTGGCCAAGATCTCGCGATACATGGCCCCATCCATCCTCCCCTGAATACGGTGCAGTCGTCTAACCTATAGGCCTTCAGTGTTTGGCAGGTTTGTGATTCTGAAAGGACAGCAACTGTAATACCAGCGCACTCATGTAGGAGAGTGCACTTTTTTGTGAAACAAGGGCCCAGGGGTGTAGTGGATTCTATACGCAGGTATAAACCCACTTTTGTTTCAGTGGGCATTGCTTATACTCACTCTTAATCCCTATTGATGCGTATCAAAGTAGTGTAGTGGAGGTATACGACCTGTCAATAATGTAGTACAATAGAGAAATCATGCACAAAGTTGCCTACACAACCGCAAAGCACATGAAATATTATTCACATGCGTGCAGCACACAGCCTAGTTTCAGCGGAATATAATCTGCAGGCAGCAAGAGTGTGCAGCTCTCAACTGGTTTTGGCATGGAGCAGCTCACAGAAGAATGACATTGGTAGCCGGTAGGGTAGGAAGGTCGTTTCAACTTATGATATCTACCAGTAAATGCTAACTAAGGCAACAACGGCTATGCAAACCAGGTATCGAAGAAGTTTAGTCCGAAGTGTTGGTTAGTAGGCTATTTTTGATGCGCAATTGTAATCATGCCTGTTTGCATCAGGGGCGTAGACATGGATGGGCCTGGGTAGACATAGGACCACCCACTGGGGAGCCAGGGCCTGACAGGCCCACCCAATCACATTGACGTGGTTTAAGCATTGTTGTGGACTTTAGACCATCACATTTTTGTATTTTTTCTATATAAAAGTGTGATTTTGAGAGTGAAAATCTGAAAACTCTATAGGAAAAAAACAACAAAAAAACATAGGAAAACATAGTATTTTCCAGACAGAGTGCCTTTCCTTCACTGGGCGGGCCATTTGGGAACTTATTGGCAAAATCAGAGTATACCCACTTCTCCAGGCACCACTACACCACTGCATAGGGCCGATGGAAAGACAGCAGTCGCACACAGCATGATGTTAACGGATAAGCAGTCCATAAACTCTGACATAATTAGCCAGTAATTACTTCCCATTGAAAAAAAAAAATCACGTTTAGCACAAAAAGTAACCTGTGACCTAAAGTTTAAAGTGAAACTGACAGCGTTTTAACTACTTTGCAGATATGAAACAAACAGACAATCATAATATCAGTCAATAATATCAAATTCCCAGTTTATGCTACAAAACCAACTACATGAGGTTTTAAAAATAGGTTATATTTGACGCAACGTTCCATGACGTACACTAAGGCATTGTTGGCAGAATAGATGGATGCAGTTCAATGCATGATTAGTATAATTCACCAATAGATTTCTTGGTACTCCAAAAAATATTGCTATCAAGTTATAAATCACAGCTGGCCTGGTACATTGTTTGCTTCCTCCATTCGGGATGCACTGTTTCAGTTTCAATTACTCAATATTCTGGCCAAAAACGGATCAATGTAACTAAGGCTGGGAATGTCAATGCAATCAAACTAGCAAAGGCAATGATCACAAGTCAGTCATAACGTGGCTAATAGGCTAGCGTATCTATTTATGTAGCAAGCTAAAAACACGGAGCCTAACGTTAGCTAGATAGCTAGCTAGCTGCTAGGAGGATGTCATGTCATGCCATTGGAGGAGTGTGGGAGTGACTGACTTTTTTGCCTCATATCGTTTTTCGCTGGCACAGCTAGAGATGCAGGTGTCATCTGGTTAGCTAGCAAGAACTTGAAAGACTGATATACAGTTAGAATATCTCTTGCGTTCGCAAATTATTCTATCTACTCCGATTTCAGAGAACTCTTGTCTGAGTGTGCCAGAGCGCAGAACAACTGATGAATTTACAAATGCGCAAGACCTGCTGAATATGACCGGTGTCAGCAAACATAGGCAAAAAAAGTTATAGTTAGTCAAGAACGCTCTAGATTAACATGTAAACAGCCTAACCAGCTATGCTACGGCGAGTACAATGGTCAGAGTGAGGTGTTCTCTCATTTTTGTCTGGTAGTAGCTAGCTAGAAAGCTAGCCAACTTTAGCCAGTTAGCTTGAGTGCTTGGTTGGGACAAGCATGCATTGGCTGACAAGCTGCAGAAGGACGAGGAGGCTACAATTCCCCATCATTTATCAGTGGAATTTTGACAGCCAACTAGCTGAAAAGGTTTGAGAGGGTTTATCTAATGTTCCTTCGTTAGATTTTTAGCTCATCTTGCTCTTGCTAGCATTAGTTGTTGATCTTGTTGTAGTTGATGTGCATAACTGAGGGGGAGAGAGCCTACCTTTTCATGGTTGTTTGATCAATAGGACTGTAAAGTTCCCAAATGTAAAAGGACTCCCGTGGTGTTTACATATTTGCAGGAATCCATTCCGGTGCATTTTGTGGCTTTTAGTAAATGCATTCTAATAATATAAAGTCACCCTGTTGCAACTGCCTGTAAACACACAGTCCAGTTCAAAGTGAATGATGGCAGGCCCTTGTGGCAAATGGTTAGCTGTGATTGGCTATAGCGCACCGGTCTGTGTAGACTCCGGTCCTAGACAAGACAGATGTTTTTATTCTGTTTTATTTACTGCAGTGTCTATTAATTGTTCTAACTCACAGCCACTTTCCCACTCTATATTGCTATAGAATTTTCACAAATGCCTTGTAATTTCAAAACATTCTAAGAATTTATGGAAATGTGAAAATGACCATATCTAAGTGGTCGTTTGTCAGATTTTTTAAAAATTAAGTTTCATATTCTTCCTCGGGGTGTACACAACTGGTCAAACGTTTTAGAACACCTACTCATTCAAGGGTTTTTCTTTATTTTTACTATTTTTTACGTTGTAGAATAATAGTGAAGACATCAAAACTATGAAATAACACATGTAGTAACCAAAAAAGTGTTAAACATATATTTGATATTTGATATTCTTCAAATAGCCACCCTTTGCCTTGATTACAGCTTTGCACACTCTTGGCATTCTCTCAACCAGCTTCATGAGGTAGTCACCTGGAATGCATTTCAGTTAACAGGTGTGCCTTCTTAAAAGTTAATTTGTGGAATTTCTTTCCTTCTTAATGCATTTGAGCCAATCAGTTGTGCTGTGACAAGGTAGGGGTGGTATACAGAAGATAGCCCTATTTGGTAAAAGACCAAGTCCATATTATGGCAAGAACTGCTCAAATAAGCAAATTGAAACGACAGTCCATCATTACTTTAAGAGATGAAGGTAAGTCAACACTGAACATTTCAAGAACTTTGAAGGTTTCTTCAAGTGCAGTCGCAAAAACCATCAAGCTCTATGATGAAACTGGCTCTCATGAGGACCGCCACAGGAATGAAAGACCCAGAGTTACCTCTGCTGCAGAGGATAAGTTCATTAGAGTTACCAGCCTCAGAAATTGCAGCCCAAACAAATGCTTCACAGAGTTCAAGTAACAGACACATCTCAACATCAACTGTTCAGAGGAGACTGTGTGAATCAGGCCTTCATGGTCGAATTGCTGCAAAGAAACCACACCTAAAGGACACCAATAAGAAGAAGACACTTGCTTGGGCCAGGAAATACAAGCAATGGACATTAGACCGGTGGAAATTTGTCCTTTGGTCTGGAGTACAAATTTGAGATTTTTGGTTCAAACCGCTGTGTCCTTGTGAGATGCGGTGTGGGTGAACGGATGATCTTTGCATGTGTAGTTCCCACAGCAAAGCATGGAGGAGGAGGTGTTATGGTGTGGGGGTGCTTTGCTGGTGACACTGTCTGTGATTTATTTAGAATTCAAGGCACACTTAACCAGCATGGCTACCACAGCATCCTGCAGCGACACGCCATCCCATCTGGTTTGGGCTTAGTGGGACTATCATTTGTTTTTCAACAGGACAATGACCCAACACACCTCCAGGCTGTGTAAGGGCTATTTTACCAAGAAGGAGATTGATGGAGTGCTGCATCAGATGACCTGGCCTCCACAATCCCCCGACCTCAACCCAACTGAGATGGTTTGGGATGAGTCGGACGGCAGAGTGAAGGAAAAGCAGCCAACAAGTGCTTAGCATATGTGGGAACTCCTTCAAGACTGTTGGAAAAGCATTCCAGGAGAAGCTGGTTGAGAGAATGCCAAGAGTGTGCAAAGCTGTCATCAAGGCAAAGGGTGGCTATTTGAAGAATCTCAAATATAAAATATATTTTGATTTGTTTAACACTTTTTTGGTTACTACATGATTCCATATGTGTTATTTCATAGTTTTGATGTCTTCACTATTATTCTACAATGTAAAAAATAGTAAAAATAAAGAAAAACCCTTGAATGAGTAGGTGTGTCCAACCTTTTGACTGGTACTGTACAGTGGGGAGAACAAGTATTTGATACACTGCCAATTTTGCAGGTTTTCCTACTTACAAAGTATGTAGAGGTCTGTAATTTTTATCATAGGTACACTTCAACTGTGAGAGACGGAATCTAAAACAAAAATCCAGAAAATCACATTGTATGATTTTAAGTAATTAATTTGCATTTTATTGCATGACATAAGTATTTGATACATCAGAAAAGCAGAACTTAATATTTGGTACAGAAACCTTTGTTTGCAATTACAGAGATCATACATATCCTGTAGGTCTTGACCAGGTTTGCACACACTGCAGCAGGGATTTTGGCCCACTCCTCCATACATACCTTCTTCAGATCCTTCAGGTTTCGGGGCTGTCGCTGGGCAATACAGACTTTCAGCTCCCTCCAAAGATTTTCTATTGGGTTCAGGTCTGGAGACTGGCTAGGCCACTCCAGGACCTTGAGATGCTTCTTACGGAGCCACTCCTTAGTTGCCTTGGCTGTGTGTTTCGGGTCGTTGTCATGCTGGAAGACCCAGCCACAACCCATCTTCAATGCTCTTACTGAGGGAAGGAGGTTGTTGGCCAAGATCTCGCGATACATGGCCCCATCCATCCTCCCCTCAATACGGTGCAGTCGTCCTGTCCCCTTTGCAGAAAAGCATCCCCAAAGAATAATGTTTCCACCTCCATGCTTCACGGTTGGGATGGTGTTCTTGGGGTTGTACTCATCCTTCTTCTTCCTCCAAACACGGCGAGTGGAGTTTAGACCAAAAAGCTCTATTTTTGTCTCATCAGACCACATGACTTTCTCCCATTCCTCCTCTGGATCATCCAGATGGTCATTGGCAAACTTCAGACGGGCCTGGACATGCGCTGGCTTGAGCAGGGGGACCTTGCGTGCGCTGCAGGATTTTAATCCATGACGGCGTAGTGTGTTACTAATGGTTTTCTTTGAGACTGTGGTCCCAGCTCTCTTCAGGTCATTGACCAGGTCCTGCGGTGTAGTTCTGGGCTGATCCCTCACCTTCCTCATGATCATTGATGCCCCACGAGGTGAGATCTTGCATGGAGCCCCAGACCGAGGGTGATTGACCGTCATCTTGAACTTCTTCCATTTTCTAATAATTGCGCCAACAGTTGTTGCCTTCTCACCAAGCTGCTTGCCTATTGTCCTGTAGCCCATCCCAGCCTTGTGCAGGTCTACAATTTTATCCCTGATGTCCTTACACAGCTCTCTGGTCTTGGCCATTGTGGAGAGGTTGGAGTCTGTTTGATTGAGTGTGTGGACAGGTGTCTTTTATACAGGTAACGAGTTCAAACAGGTGCAGTTAATACAGGTAATGAGTGGAGAACAGGAGGGCTTCTTAAAGAAAAACTAACAGGTCTGTGAGAGCCGGAATTCTTACTGGTTGGTAGGTGATCAAATACTTATGTCATGCAATAAAATGCAAATGAATTACTTAAAAATCATACAATGTGATTTTCTGGATTTTTGTTTTAGATTCCGTCTCTCACAGTTGAAGTGTACCTATGATAAAAATTACAGACCTCTACATGCTTTGTAAGTAGGAAAACCTGCAAAATCGGCAGCGTATCAAATACTTGTTCTCCCCACTGTATGTGTGTCTGTGACTTTATGCTTTGTATCTAGAGTGCAAGGAGAGACCCCAGACCCCCTGTGAGATTGCTAGAGATGCCGTGGGCCGTAACTTGATTGGAACCTTCATCCCCCAGTGTGACAACCAGGGACAATACACCCCTCAGCAGTGCTGGGGCTCTACAGGTTACCACACACATACACAAGCACACACACACACACGTTACCCTACTGAACATTTCACACAAGATTAACCCATTCCTTTTGCAGTCCTGACATGCTCCAATCCATGGCATGTGAAATGTCTTGATAACCTGTTTCCCAAACATTTGAATGTATTTAGGAACTAAAAATGCACTCCAGACTTGCTTTTCAGGTGTTAGTGAAAGCAAAGACGCAGTTAAATGCTTTTTCAATTCAATTTGTGTTACAGTAAAATATGGGTAACACTTCATTTTAAGGGGTAATTATTCCTGTATTGTAGTTAATTGTAACAACTCATAGTTACAGTGTAATAACAACATGTCACTGGTAGAAAATGCGGTATGTAATTATAGAGGTGTAACAATGAAGACTTATTACCATGCTTGTTACAAATGGGCAGGTTTCCACTAAAATCACCAACGTAATGTAAGAACTGTCACAAAGGTTTTGATCCCTCGTGGATGAGCTGGATGTCTGAGAGATTATAGCCTATGCTCAATAGGCTCTAATTACTTACCGTTGAATGAGCACTGTTCAAACTATATCTCCGCTCAGTATTGTTGCAAGCACTTTCCCTCAAAACAAAGTTTACCATCTGGGATAACTTGGTTGTGCTGGTAAAAAGAGATCAGTAGGTCAACCTCACTGACTGGGATCTAATATGGGTGGCATCCCAGATGAGGAAAAACACACTTTTTCAAAGCACAGACAAGTAATGTTTGCCTAAGTACAATGTAATTGCTAGTTGTTACACAGGATTTAGCAAATGAAAATGAAATGTATCTTGAGGGGTACTTACTCGTAATTAATGGGTATGGAAGTTTCACTTCATTTCACAATAAGGTACAGAAATGAAGTGAAACTTCCAGAAGCTTTCAAATGAGGGCCAGGTTGTCAGGATGTGTAATCTACTGTATAAGTACACATTAATTACAAGTAAGTACCCCTCAAGATACACTTCATTTAAACTAGCTAAATCCTGTGTAACACCTAGCAATTACATTGTATTTAGGCAAACATTACTTGTCTGTGCTTTGAAAAAGTGTGTTTAAAAAAAAAAAATCTCATCTGGGATGACCAATTTAACCTGATGGTACACTTTATTTTGGTGGCAAGTGTTAGCAATAACGTTGAGTGGAGATACATTTTCAACAGTGCACATTTATTGTTAAGTAATTAGAGCCTTTTGAGCATAATCTCTCGGACACCCAGCTCATCCATGAGGGTCACAACCTTGGTGACAGTTGTTACTGAATCGGATGCCGCTGACAAGAAACAAAACACTACGTTTGGGAATTTAGTGGAAACCTGCCCACTTCTAACAAGCCTGGTAACAAGGAATCATTGTTACACTTTTGTAATTACGGACCGCAATTGCTACCAGTTACATGTTGTTATTACAGTGTAACTATTTAATCTTACAGTTAACTACAAATATTGTTACAGTGTAAATACACATGTAATTACATTTTAATAAGGATCTATTAAAAGGAAGCGTTACCTAAATGTGTTAGTGTGTAAATAGTCTTTATAACACGCGTTAACATGTACATTTCTGCTAGGTTACTGTTGGTGTGTGACCAGCACTAGACAGAAGATCCCAGGTAATGAGCGTCCACCAGGACAATGCAAATAGTCCCGGTAGCCATGATTAGCTGTTGAGGAGTCTTATGGCTTGGAGGTAGAAGCTGTTAAGAAGCCTTTTGGACCTAGGCTTGGCGCTCCGGTACCGCTTACGTGCGGTAGCAGAGAGAACAGTCTATGACAATTTTTAGGGCCTTCCTCTGACACCGCCTGGTATAGAGGTCCTGGATTGCAGGAAGCTTGGCCCCAGTGATGTACTGGTCCGTACGCACTACCCTCTGTAGTGCCTTGCGGTCGGAGGTCGAGCAGTTGCCATACCAGGCAGTGATGCAACCAGTCAGGATGCTCTCGATGGTGCAGCTGTATAACTTTTTGAGGATCTGACGACCCATGCCAAATCTTGTCAGTCTCCTGAGGGGGAATAGGTTTTGTCGTGCCCTCTTCACGACTGTCTTGGTGTGTTTGGACCATGATAGTTTGTTGGTGATGTGGACACCAAGGAACTTGAAGCTCTCAACCTGTTCCACTACAGCCCTGTCGATGAGAATGGGGGCGTGCTCGGTCCTCTTCTTTTTCCTGTAGTCCACAATCATCTCCTTTGTCTTGGCACCACACGGCCAGGTCTCTGATCTCCTCCCTATAGGCTGTCTCATCGTTGTCGGTGATCAGGCCTACCACTGTTGTATCGTCGGCAGACTTAATGATGGTGTTGGAGTCGTGCCTGGCCATGCAGTCATGGGTGAACTGGGAGTACAGGAGGGGACTGAGCACGCACCCTTGAGGGGCCCCCGTGTTGAAGATCAGCGTGGTAGATGTATTGTTACCTACCCTTACGACCTGGGGGGCGGCCCGTCAGGAAGTCCAGGATCCAGTTGCAGACGGAGGTGTTTAGTCCCAGGGTCCTTAGCTTAGTGATGAGCTTTGAGGGCACTATGGTGTTGAACGCTGAGCTGTAGTCAATGAACAGCATTCTCACGTAGGTGTTCCTCTTGTCCAGGTGGGAAAGGGCAGTGTGGAGTGCAATAGAGATTTTATCATCTGTGGATCTGTTGGGCGGTATGCAAATTGGAGTGGGTCTAGGGTTTTTGGGATAATAGTATTCATGTGAGCCATGACCAGCCTTTCAAAGCACTTCATGGCTACAGATGTGAGTGCCACGGGTCGGTAGTCATTTAGGCAGTTTATCTTGTGTTCTTTGGCACAGGGACTATGGTGGTCTGCTTGAAACATGTTGGTATTACAGACTCAGTCAGGGACATGTTGAAAATGTCAGGGAAGACACTAGCCAGTTGGTCAGCGCATGCTCGGAGTACGCGTCCTTGTAATCCATCTGGCCCTGCGGCCTTGTGAATGTTGACCTGCTTAAAAGTCTTACTCACATCGCCTACGGAGAGCGTGATCACATAGTCATTCGGAACAGCTAATGCTCTCATGCGTGCTTCAGTGTTGCTTGCCTCGAAGCGAGCATAGGAGTGATTTAGCTCGTCTGGTAGGCTTGTGTCACTGGGCAGCTGTGCTTCCCTTTGTAGTCTGTAATAGTTTGCAAGCCCTGCCACATCCGTCGGAGCCGGTGTAGTACGATTCGATCTTAGTCCTGTATTGACTCTTTGCAATTGAGATGGTAAAAACAGATCAGTAGGTCAACTTTACTGACTGGGATCTAATATGGGTGGCATCCCAGATGTGGAAAAATACACTATTTCAAAGCATAGTACATGTAATGTTTGCTTAAGTACAATGTAATTGCTAGTTGTTAGATTTATCTCATTAAAATGAAGTGTATTTTGAGGGGTACTTACTTGTAATTAATTTGCACGCATACAGGACATTACCCATCCTGACAACCTGGCCCTCATTTGAAAGCATCTGGAAGTTTCACTTCATTTCACAATAAGGTACAGAAATGAAGTGAAACTTCCAGATGCTTTCAAATGAGGGCCAGGTTGTCAGGATGGGCAATGTTCTGTATGCATACAAATTAATTACAAGTAAGTACCCCTCAAAATACACTTAATTTTAATGAGATAAATCTTGTGTAACAACTAGTAATTACATTGTACTTAAGCAAACATGACATGTACTATGCTTTGAAATATTGTGTTTTTCCTCATCTGGGTTGACCAATTTAACCTGATGGTCCACTTTATTTTGGTGGCAAGTGTTAGCAGTAACGTTGAGTGGAGATATATTTTCAACAGTGTACGTTTATGTTTAAGTAATTAGTGCCTTTTGAGCATAATCTCTCGGACACCCAGCTCATCCATGAGGGTCACAACCTTGGTGACAGTTGTTACTGAATCGGATGCAGCTGACAAGAAACAAAACACTAAGTTTGTGAATTTAGTGGAAACCTGCCCACTTCTAACAAGCCTGGTAATAAGGAATCATTGTTACACCTTTGTAATTACGGACCGCAATTGCTACCAGTTACATGTTGTTATTACAGTGTAACTATTTATTCTTAGTTAACTAAAATACTTGTTACAGTTTAAATACACATGTAATTACACTGTAATAAAGACCTATTAAAAGGAAGCGTTACCAAAATGTGTTAGTGTGTAAATAGTCTTCATAAGACGTTTTTAACACGCGTTAACATGTACATTTCCAGTACATTACTGTTGGTGTGTAGCACTGGACAGAAGATCCCGGGTATGGAGTGTCCACCAGGCACTCCCCGCATCAACTGTTTAGGTACACAGACACACACACACACACAGTCACGATCACACACAGTCAAGCAAACATGCACATAGTCACTGCACACACACACAGAAGTTCCCGAGTACTGAGAGTCCACCAGACACTGCTCGCTGTGAGAGGACAGGTAGGAGGAGTGTGTGTTTGTGTGTAAGTAAGTATTTGCGTGTGTGTATGTGTGTGACTTTACCCTTGTGCTTTATATCTAGAGTGCAAGGAGCGACCCCAGACCCCCTGTGAGATTGCTAGAGATGCCGTGGACCCTAACTTGATTGGAACCTTCATCCCCCAGTGTGTCAACCAGGGACAATACACCCCTCAGCAGTGTTGGGGCTCTACAGGTCAAATCAAATCAAATCAAATGTTTTTTGTCGCATAAACATATTTAGCAGCTGTTATTGCAGGTGTAGCGAAATGTGTTACCACACACATAAACACACACACACAGGTTACCCTACACAAGATTAACCCATTCCTTTTGAAATTCTGACATGTTCCATTGCATGGCATGTGAAATGTCTTGATAACCTGTTTCCCAAACATTTGAAAGGTATTTAGGAGCTAAAAATGCACTGCAAACTAGCTTTTCAGGTGTTAGTGAAAGCAAAGATGTGGTTAAATGCTTTTTTAACATGTTACCATTCAATTTGTGTTAAAGTAAAATTTGTTATTGTGTAAATATTGTATTTACAACACGTTTTTTAACATGTACATTTCTGGCAGGCTAATGTTGGTGTGTGACCAGCACTGGACAGAAGATCGATGGTACTGAGTGTCCACCAGGCACTGCCTGCATCAACTGTGCAGGTACACACACGCATACACAAACACACACACACTAGAGGAGGCTGGTGGGAGGAGCTATAGGAGGACGGGCTCATTGTAATGGCTGGAATGGAGTCAATGGAATGGTACCAAACACATGGAAACAACGTGTTTGACTCCGTTCCACCATTGATTCCATTCCAACCATTACAATGAGTGCATCCTCCTATAGCTCCTCCCACCAGCCTCCTATGGCGCACACATGCAGGCACACACACAAACGCACATGCATGTGTTGTTGTTGTTTATGTTTTGTTTTGTCTGCTATTTTAGATGAACTCGTAGATGAAATTCGTTGGAAAGACGTTGAAAAGATGGTAGAAAGTCGTTGGAACAAAGACTTTGAAAAGACGGTAGAAAGTCGTTGGAACAAAGACTTTGAAAGGACGATGGCATCCTGATCATGTCTACAAAATAAACGCTGAAGGAATGTATAAACACGTTTGATGTTTTTAGTTTTGTTGCTATGCTCTAAAATCTATCTGAATCAGTTAATTTTCTGGGAAATGGAAGAAGGAGTATCAATCTTTTAAGCCAATAACATATTTTGCATACAACAGTACCATCTTATACAAGAAACCTTACATGTAAGTATGTTTAACTATTTGATTGTAACTTAAAATCATTACAGGATCATTACATACGCACACAAGCGTAGGCACACGCACTCTACATACATGTACTTTGTAATATTGTTGTATGGTGGTATTATTCATTTTGTACTGTAGATATGTAGTGGTGTAATAATGTTATATGATGTACTGTTTTATCTTTTGTTTTATATGTAATGTAAGTGCCTTAATGTGTTTGGACCCCAGGAACAGTAGTGGGGATCCCTAATAAATAAAAATACAAAATTACAGGAATGCATAATAGTCAACATAATAATAATAGTACCACAGCGACTTTAACTGTTTAACTCTCATTCCAGTGTTTATTAAATGTCCACAGGAACGAGTGATGAAGTTCCTGACTGATAAGGAGAAGGCATGGCAGGACTTTTTTGACTCACGCTTCCAGGAGAAGATCCATGAGGAGATACAGTAACCTGAAGAGGGAGGTGGAGAGCTGGATCGTTGAGATAAGTGAAGACTGAGGGACAAAGCTCAGAGGGACAAGGTATTTACAATGTACACAGCATTCTGCAGCGATACGCCATCCCATCTGGTTTGGGCTTAGTGGGACTATCATTTGTTTTTCAACAGGACAATGACCCAACACACCTCCAGGCTTTTTAAGGGCTATTTTACCAAGAAGGATGGAGTGCTGCATCAGATGGCCTGGCCTCCACAATTCCCCAACCTCAACCCAATTGAGATGGTTTGGGATGAGTCGGACCGCAGAGTGAAGGAAAAGCAGCCAACAAGTGCTCAGCATATGTGGGAACTCCTTCAAGACTGCTGGAAAAGCATTCCAGGTGAAGCTGGTTGAGAGAATGCCAAGAGTGTGCAAAGCTGTCATCAAGGCAAAGGGTGGCTATTTGAAGAATCTCAAATCTAAAATATATTTTGATTTGTTTAACACTTTTTTGGTTACTACATGATTCCATATGTGTTATTTCATAGTTTTGATGTCTTCACTATTATTCTACAATGTAAAGAATAGTACAAATTAAGAAAAACCCTTGAATGAGTTGATGTGTCCAAACATTTGACTGGTACTGTATCTATAATTCAATTTGCCAGAGCATTAGAAGTACACATATTTCGAATTGGTGTTGTTCATGCTGTTGCATGTTAGTACCATTTTGTTGTAGATCGTAATATTTGAAAAGTAATTTGCTAATAACATTTTCATGGTTATTATTACTAAGGTCTACGAGCTGTTGGTTATAGACCTTCCGCAGAGGAGGAGAGTCATTGAGAACCTCAGAGAGATGGACGACCCCATCGACAGTGGAGAGAGAAGGGCGAAGAGGAGGATGCCCATGAGAAAGAGAGAGTTGAATGAAAAACATTGGGATGAAAAAGCAGAGTGGAGAGAGTAAGGACGCCGCAGTGGAGATGGAAGGGTGCAAGGGAGATAGGAGGAGAGGAAAAGAGGTAGAAAAAGCAGCTGTGATGAGAGGAGATACCAGATGATCGTGGAGATGGAGCGTATTCACTCCCATGAAGAGCAAAGAGAAACCTTCCTGAGAAACAAGGAGGAAGGAAAAGAAAAGGGAGGATGAGGAGAGAATGAGAGAAAGGCCACATCTGGCATAGAAAAAAAGGGATGCACGTGTGGCCTGTGTGGTCCAGCAGTTACAACCGCTGACCCTGGAACACACGTATGTCATAGTTGGCATGGGTTTGAATCCAGCCCACGGCCCTTTGGCTCACACTCCCCCATCTTTCCAACATTTTACTATCTCTTCCTTAAAGTAAAAAAAATTACATAAGGAGTGGGACTGCCCCACTCCTTAAAAAATACCTTTAAAACAAGGAGGAAAAAAATTATGCAGATAGGAGGGAGAGGTGTGGCTGATGGAGATAGTGGAGAAGAGAAAGGAGGTTGACCACAGAGTGATGTCTGTGAACAGGAAGGTCATCTCTCTGAGGTCCGAGGCTAAGCAAATCAGGAAGAGAAAGACACAGACCAGGCCAGCTAGTCTGACAGAAAAGAACAGAAAGATGGAGAAAGAGAATGTCAGCCAGAAAGAGATGGAAGAGGAAAGGAGGAGCGAAGAGGCAGTAAGAGTAGAGAAAGCGGAGGCCACCAAACAGGCTGAGGGAAATAGAGATGGAGGAGGAGAAGCTGAGCAGATCAGGATAAATAGAAAGACACTGAGGAGAGGTTCACAGCAGACAGGAAACCTCTGTTGTAATTAACTAATAGCAAACACTTCTCATTTACAGTACTAGACCATATCTCAAATGGAAAAATAAAACTAACATTCAATCTATGTGCTAAAATAACTGATTGCATGGTGTTAACATGTTGTCCTCTTTCTCTCCCTCGAGGAAAGAACACAGAATGATACAGACATGCAGAGAGGAAAGGAGGAAGATGGAGGGGGGGAAGGAGGACGAGAGAGAGTGAACGAAAGTTTCAGTGAGGGAGAAGAGAACGGACATGGTAAGGAGAGGAAGAGTAGAGAAACTGATACAGATAGCGATATCGAAAGTGAGGCATCGAGTCTGACAGAAGATAACAGAAAGACGGCTAAAGAGTGTCAGGCAGAAAGAGATGGAAGAGGAAAAGAGGAGTGGCAGTGAGAGTAAAGAAGGTGGCCACAAAACAGGCTGAGGGAAATAGAGATGGAGAAGAGATAGGAAGAGTGAGGCTAAGTGAGTGATACAGAGGAATAAGAAGTCTGATAATTAACAGTGAGAGACAAAGCTAGAAGAGCAGACTGCAACAGAGGTTGAGACAGAACTGAGTGATTGGGACATGACAGATGAAAGTGAAGAGGAGAAATGTAAGGTGGAAAAACAGAAAGAGCTAGAGGAGAGGAAGGAGAAGAAAAGGGTGAGAGAGGTGGGAAAGAAGAAGTCTGAGGATGAACAGAGAGAGAGACCAAACAGGAAGAGCAGACTGCTATAGAGACAGAACTGAATCAAATCTAAATGTATTTGTCACATGCTTCGTAAACAACAGGTGGCTGTCACGATCGTCGTAGAGAGTAGACCAATGCGCAGCGTTAGTTGCGAACATACTTAACTTTATTATCATAAGTGATAATATAACAACAAAACAATAAACAAAACGTGCAGTCCTACGGTTAACACAGAAACAACCAAACGGAAACAAGATCCCACAAACACTAAGGGAAACAGACTGTTTAAATATGGCTCCCAATCAGAGACAACCAGCAACAGCTGACACTCGTTGCCTCTGATTGGGAGCCACTCGGGCCAACATAGAAATACCACAACTAGAACTCCCACACAGAACATAAACACATAGAATCTACACACCCTGGCTCAACATATAGAGTCCCCAGAGCCAGGGTGTGACAGTGGCCTAACAGTGAAATGATTACTTACAGGCCCTTCCCAATAATGCAGAGATAGAAAATAGACAAATTATAGAGAAGTAAAACACGTAATAATAAAAGTAATAATATACACAATGAGTAACGATAACTTGGCTATTTACAACGGGTACCAGTACCGAGTCGATATGCAGGGGTACAAGGTCATTGAGGTAGATATGTACTGTACATTTAACTAGGAATAAAGTGACAGATAGCAAACGGTAGCAGAAGCGTATGTGATGAGTAAAAAAAGTGAACGAAAAAAGGGAGTGGGACTGGGATGAGGACAGTGAAGAGTAAAAATAAAAACAGGAAAAGCTGGAGAAAAGGAAGGAGGAGAAAAGGGTGCTGAGAGGTGGAGAAGAAGAGAGCCGAGGATGAACAGAGTGAGAACAAAAAGGAAGAGCAGATTGCAATAGAGACAGAACGGAGGGACTGGGATGAGGGCAGTGAAGATGGAGAGATTGTGGAAGCGAAATTGAAGAAGAAGAAAAAGAGCTGGAGAAAAGGGCGAGAGAGGAGAAGCTGGAAGCAGAGAGCTGGAGGAAGAAGGAGGATTTGAGGAAGGAGGAGAAACTCCCGGAGCAGGTGAGGCT